TAAATTTTTTGAAAATAAATTCAGAATTACTTATAATTTTTATCAAAATCTCAATAAAAATATGAAAAGAGGTAAATTGGAGTCATCATATTTTTTATATGACATAACAATCTCACACTGATGGATATTTTTTACTATCTATACAGCTTTGAATTGGATAGAGTTTTATACTCTAACCATGTATGATTTTTACAAAAATAAATTTGCATTGAAGTGGTTTATATTCATAAAATATGAAAGTGGACTGGTAAATTAATCAAAAAATTATTACGTATGACCTATAAAATATGTTACTTTTCCATAACAATTTTTATACAGTGTTTCTTCTTGGGCTTAAAAGATACTACGTGTGTGTATATATATATATATTTAATATTTCAATAAAAATATGAGTATGTTATGATAAATGAATTACATTCTATATATAAATATAAATAATTATTATTGAAAATACAAAATAAAATAATATGGTAACTAAAATCCAGTTTTCCTTAGTTTGTTTTAATTTAAATATGAATATAAATAATAATAATAATTATTATTAATTTATCATTTTATTATTTATTTGTTAAAAATTAATATAAATAATTGGGTAGAATAGTTGAAAATTTGACATCGATTTATTTATTTTTATTTTCAAGGCAAAAATATTATGGATTAAAACTTAGTTATTAGAGAAGGGAGGAGGGAAAGTTAGCAGAGTCGAACACAACTTTCAGACACAAAAAATTAAAAAAAATCCGATTGATACCAATTGATACGATGTCGTAATGACACACAGAATATTCAAAGATTCTTTATCATTATTCCTTTGTGGTTTTTATTGCTTTTAACTTTGAAGTAACTTGACAATGGAAATGATGCCAAAAAAAAAAAAAAAAAACTAGCAAATTGTCGGTGAACTTTTCATTCTCATTCACTTTTCAGAAGAAAAAATATATATATAATTATACTTTTTCTCTCACCTAATAAATTATTCTTACCTTTTCTGGTTTAATCATTAAAATATATTTATCTAATCAACTCTAAGTAATTAGAGAAAAACTTTATTGAGTTAAATTGGGTAATTTTTAATTTTTTATTAATTAAAAAATAACAGCTAATAAGACGAAAAGATATTCTACTCAAGATGAGTGGGATTTTTTATTTGCAACCCACTTGCTTAAATTTGGGGTCCATTTGGTTAGAAAAAGAAACACACATATCTTTGTAGGAACACGTGGCGGTTATTGACCTTTATAAAATGTCCAGCAAATAGAGAAAATTATTGATTTTCATTTGTCCTCCTTTGGTTTCATTTTTACTTGCGTTGAACCAAGACTACGTGAAAGAAGAAAGTGATAAAACTTTTCAAGAACACTTCTATGTTTTTCAAAAATAAAAAACGATTTATTTAGCTTACAGCTTCTAAAAATTTAGTTAAAAAATAATTTGTTTATATATAAAAAAAAAAAATCGAGTAAGCACTGTTAGGGACGGATGGATCCAGAAATTCATGTAAGGAGAGTACAAATTTTTTTTTTTTACCGTACTAATGAGAGAGAAGAGTGGCCGAATCGGTATATAGTAGAGGCTTTAATCTCCGGCACTCAACAAGTGTCTTCAGTAGAGGCTTCAAATTGAGTCGAAAACACGAATTCCGATGAATTTGTTAATCAAAACACTTCAGATCATGGTATTCAAAGTTACCCAGCCTACTACTGAGTTCCACTTTCGCATTAAGTCTTAACGAGGTGACTCAAACAAGTCCACGCGTGAGAAGAGGCAACAATGATTTTTTTATTTCAACTCCATAGGGACAAGTATATAGTTTTACATTTAAATAATTTTATTTATTTAAAAAAAATAAAAAATTAGAACTAAAAAAAAATAATTCAGCACTTCTACTTAAGTCTGTCTCTTATCAACGTAATCACATGGCAACTAAACAAATTAAAATTCTTCTTCGGCCATCATTGAGTATTGATTGATTACTTAATATGATCCAGGACATACTAGAAAATTAAGTAAGAAGGAAAATAATAAAATTTTTAGTAATTTTCAGAAGAGACAATAGTAATATTTCACGAATATATAATTAAAAATATTAAATTAATAAAAATTAGTTACTTAAAAAAAAAATTCACGAAAGGGAATTGCCCCGTCAATGCATTGGGTCCCTCACTTAATTTGTTTTATATAAATAAATTAATAAGTCTGCCCCCTTTGTTTGACTTGTGTAGTATACTTCGTACACACACATGCAAACGCATCAATGCCTCTGTCCCCTTTGTTTGACTTATCCGTCAAAAAAAAAAAATACTACAAAAAGTAGTTTGTCATCTTGTTTGTTACTGTGTAATTGACAGCCGACAAAAGTAGGCTTATTTTACCATAATGCCAAAACTATTGCCATCAATCAAAATCGCCCGAAGCTTCCTGTTGAAGTGATTGTTTTCAGTTTTTAGATGTGTATGAACTCTCACTCCATCACTAACTCTTAACATTTTTACCATGAAAATAAAGAAAAATCAAAATTCAATCTGTAAATTTTGTTTGGTCTTCTTGGCCCAAATGGCTTTTCCAAGCCCTGGCCTCTTATGTTTCCAATCAGATTGATACATAAAACACTCCTAAAATATATTTCATATAATACTTTTATCTCTTATTTAAAAAGTATATAAAAAATAAACATAATCTTTTTATATGGTGCAAAAATACTCCATCTAGCAAAATTAGTGATGTAATACCCGTTTTGTCTTTTTACTCTTCTAAAAATGCGGGATGTATATACTACTAATTTCATAATATATGAGTGTTATGTGCATATTACCTTATATATATATGTTTTAAAAAAAACTTTTTCCTCCATATGTATCTCTAAACATTTTTTTTTAAAAAAACCTTGAGAATTTGTAAAATAAGGATTTGAATTTTTTGAGATTCTAATTTACTCTTTTCTACTAATTTTTTTTCTTTATTTTATTTATTTTTCATACCAACATTATTAAACAAACAAAAAAAAAAATTCCAATATCAGTGTGTATTGGTTTTCAGAGTTTGAAAAAAAAAATTGTTTCATTAGTTTGCACTTTATTTTTGTTTTTTTTTTATATTTATTTTTATCTTTACTTTTCTTTTATACTTTTGTTTTTATTTTATATTTTTATCTTTATTTATCCATTGTCGGCCCTCCAATAATGTCATTTTCGGTCATTTTATAAAATTATATATTTTATAAAATGGTTCAGTAAGGGTAATTTAGTCAACTTAAGATTTAAATTTGTCAGAGGAATCTATTTGCACTAGATTGAAACTTTAGGGGTATTTTTTGCAAGAGAGGGGCATCCTTCAATAGTGTCCTTTTCAATCATTTTACAAAATTATTTATTTTTATATATTTTATAAAATGGTTTATGGTAATGTAGTCAACTTAAGGTTTAAATTTGTCAGAGGGCCCTATTTGCACCAAATTGAAACTTTAGAGGTGTTTTCTGTACGTGAGGAGTGTGATATGCACTGTAAACATACTTTAGGGGTGTTTTCTGCACTTGACCATATATTATTTAGAACAGAAGCATCTAAACTCATTTTACGTTGCATAACTTTGGGACTATTAAGCTAGATTTTATTATTTGAGAGTGATTTAAAGCATTTAATTGACTAATGAAATTTAATTTTGATCTATATCAAAGTAAATATATTTTGGAAAATGACAAGTAGTCGGGCATGTTCGCTCTTTTATGTGAGTGAAAAATGACATCACCGAATGTTTTAATTTTGGACTCTGCATCTTAACTCATATATTTTATTTGCTCAAGACTTTTTGTTTCTAGAAAACTGTAATGTTGCAGATACCTCGATAACTCAGTGGGTTAGTGTCTCCAGTGAATTTTGGAGTGCCAAATTTCGACTCATTTACTAATTTAACTTCTAACAATTATTACCTTGAAAAAAAAAATAATAATAATAATAAAAATAAAAACCTTCACTGTTTATAGGCACATGAAGGGTGGGCCAAGCCTCGATCTACAGTATGAAATTTGAATCACAAACGGTCCATAGAAGATAGAAAAAGAACCAACCCAAATTAATGTTGGAAACAACCTGATGGCTCAACAGAATAGCCCAATTCTCTGAGCCCAATTATTGCAATGCGAATGGTCCAATCTAAGGGGGTGAAATTTACCTTAACTATCATGTCAAGGCAACAGTAGATTGTTAAACTAAATTCAAACTTTTCCTTCTGATCTTTGAGCGTTCTTTCAAGCTTCATTAAAATTTACCTTTGTCAAATTACATAGAATTGGAGTCTTGGAATTAGAATTGGAATTAAAATTAGTAAAATTGGAGAAAAATAACTAATTCCATGCAGCACCCTTAACTCTCTTAGATTTGTATTTACCCTCCCCTTCATCAATATGGTCAATTATGAAAAATACTAATGTCAACAATTTTGTAACTTTAAATCTAAATTCTACCTTTCCATGAAATGTTTATTGCAATAAAATACAATATATATAAGAACACAAACGCAGGTACAAACCTAACAAGTTTGACATGAAATGCATCCAGAAATAAGACCGACTAACCTTATTTGCAATGCGGAGATAGAAACGTGTATATTTGTCTCTTCCTTAGACATGTAGATGTAGAAAAATTATTTGACGGTTCAGACCATTGACACTTGGTGAAACGGTTAAATATAGGCTCTCAGATTGAAAAAATAGACTCACAAAAGTATATTAATATATTACAAAGTGTTATGATTGAAAGGTTTTATTGAATTAGTCTATCAAATGTCAAATAGACCATGACTATTTTAATCTACCAAATGTCAAATTGAATTTCTAGTAAATGTAATTGGGAGAGAGAGAAGAAATTGGTAAATTTGTAACGGGCATGGGCTAGGGTGATGCAATCAATTTGGGCCAGAAAATAGAATGGGTCAAACTGTGACGGTCTTGTATTGCTGACCCTTCAGTTTAGCCCAGTGCGATTTCGAGGTCGGTGATACTGTTTTGAAAAAGATTTTTCACTTTCGCGATGGCACTGAAACCCAAAGGTTTCGAATCTCTCGATCTCTCTCTCACAAACAGATGAGCGATTGTTATTAGAAGGTATGGAGTCGAAGTTTGATCGAACGGATAAGATTTGTTGTTGAAGCTGAACAATTTCGATTGATCGGAGCTTTGTTTCATCGTCTTTCAATTTGAATCGATAGCAGAAAGCGATTTGATTTGGAGAAATGCAGAGTAGGGGATCGAATAACCGGCTCTCTGGAATGGCGTTTCGACCCCGAATTTCAACTCTCATGCTCTCCATGTTCGCCACCATTGCTTCCTTATATGTCGCCGGCCGGTGAGTTGCTCTCCCTTCTTTTTATCGAATTGCAATAGTTCCAATTAATGACTCAACGCTTTCAACTCAATGTGCTAGGGTTTGTATGATCGAATTTTCTGAAGCATTTGAATTTATCATACTAATGCTGCTAATGCATATACGATAAAAAAAAAAATTTCCTTGTCTTTGACGTTAAAGACTAGTGGACAGTGAAAGTAAGGAAAGGAAAATATGTTTTCCATAGTGTATTGAGTTAGAATGAAAAGCTTTACTGTAGCCTAGAGGTATTTCAGTCACTTGCCAAAATAGAACACACTGGACAAAATTAGAGTGTGAGTTTCGGCTAGAGAAAAAAAAAATGTAAACTTTTTTGTGAATTATAGAACAAATTACATTGAATGGTTTGGAATTTGGATAGCATGAAAGTTACAAGAAAATATTATGGGTATTTATATTAAATGGAATTTATTTTTTGTAAATTTGCAAGTGAATGTTATCATTATCCATAATAATGGAATAGCAACTCTAAATAAATCTGTCTTTCAAAAAAAATAAAATAATGTCAAATTTAAAAATAATATAATTTTCCTGGACGTTCAAGTTTTTAGATAGATATAGGCCGACTATCTAACCATTTTTTTTTTCCTGTTAAATATCTATCGAACCATTCTGTTGAAAATGTATAAACCATTTTGTTTTAGAAAGATAAAGAGAAGTCGTATTTATGAGTTCAAACATGATACATATATTTCTCAAGAAAGTAAAAGAAAAAAAAAATGTGGGAAAGTTAGATGATTATTGAAAATTACTTCCTTTATTTTTTTATTTATTTTTCCTTCTTCTGCTATCCAAAACCCTAAAAAATTAACAATTTTTCCATTTTCATCCCTATCACTACTTCCTAACTAACCAAACCAATCATTATTTATGTTAATTCTGACATCAAATATAATTTCTTTACTGAGGCACATTTTGGATGCACCTAACCCAAGTAAAATAAATCATTTTTAAAATTTTCCTTGTAGGCTCTGTTTGTTTGGTGAGATGGAAATTAATAGTGGAAACTGAAAGTAAAAGAAAGTGAAGTGAATGAAAAGGAAATAAATGTTCCATCACCGCATTTGATGAGCATGAAATTTTTTCAAGAAAATTATGAAAAATTATCATTTTATGGTTTGAATAGCATGAAACTTCATGGTTTGAATAGCTTGAAATTTACTGAGCATTATTGTAAGTCAATAAAATTTTCTCAAGAAATAAAAATTTCCTGTGTTTTTTGTAGGAAAATTTTATGGAAAAGTTAGGTGGTTATCCCTAAATTTTTTTCCTTTTCCCGCTAACCAAACTTCTTCAGTGTTCAAAAATTTTCCATTTCCTTTATTTTCTTGCTATTTCTATCTGACCAAACAGAGCCATATGGAAGACCAAGAGTACACCTTATATAGCATAAACTACATGCAATACTTTACAGCAAAAACAGCAGTTTTAGGCTTTCTTTTAATGATGTTTTTCTTTGGGTGATAGTTTATGGCAGGATGCAGAGAACAGGGTTTATTTGATAAAAGAGCTTGATAGAATAACTGGGCAGGTAACATAATATTCATTATTGTTATTAATAATATATATATATATATAATTTTTATTTTTATTTTTTGTAGTCACAGAGTTTGTGCTTTATTTGCCCCAAATATCTGGTGATCCATGAATTGCCATAAATCATAATCTGTTCTTAGGGATTAAGTCATGCAGTAATTGGAAGTAACCTTCTCCATATCATCTCATTAGCAACATGGCTACTTGTCTAGAATTACGATCTTATATCTTTTTTTTGATAAATCTAGAATTACAACTTATATCATTCAGCATGTCTGTTTGTATGATGATTAATGTTTGAATAATAACATGACTATAGGAGTCAGCCAAGTGTTTTTTAATTAGTAGATGAATTACTTATTGGCATGGTCATTTAGAATGTCCACTGTCCTCTGTTGACAAGCTTAGGAATATTCAAAACATGTTCAATTTGTTTGATGTAAGGTTCAAAGTGGGTTGCTGGCCACCAAGAGAATCGGTGGTTGTGAGGCATTACACCGCATTTCACACACTTGATGGTTTTGTTTCACTCACAAGTGTTCACACACACACACACACACAGATGACTTTCCATGGAATAATTTAACAAGTCTGCTGCTTTTTTTCTTAGGGGCTATCTGCAATGTCAATGGATGATACCATGAAAATCATAGCCTGCAGGTGAGATAGTATGGAGTTGATTTTATTTGGTAGAGTTACAATTGTTCATATTGGAGTTTGTAGTTCTTTTTATAAGATTGATTAAGGATTCTATGCTTTTTAGGGAACAACAGAAGAAATTATTGTCCCTTGAAATGGAACTTGTAGCAGCTAGACAAGAGGGTTCTATTTCGGATAATTTTTCGTATACGAAAAGGTCGGCCTCTAAGAAAAGGCCACTGGTAGTGATAGGAATACTTACAAGGTTTGGCCGCAGAAAAAATAGAGATGCAATCCGTAAGGCGTGGATGGGAACTGGTAGAGTACCATTTTCTCTACATGGTTTGCTAATTTGTTTTCTTTATGGTATGACGTTTGTTTGTTTGTCGTTGACATAATGGAGTACTGTTCTGCTAATAAGGCCTGGGGCTATATGATCAACTATGCACAAGATTGCGATTTAGAACTCTAAGAGAGTAATGTGGGAACAAGAGTTTTGTGAAAACTAGGAGTACACATTTTGAATACAATGAGTGTTTGCATGGTGGTGATTTAGTAGATTATTGTGTTAACCATTAGATGTGCTAGGGTTGACATTTCTGTTGTGTCTTTTACCTATGTATATGAAGGGGGAAACTGTAGAACATGCATGTTCATTAATGTTAAATTATTAAAACATTATAATATGTATCATTAGAGTGACAAACTGATTTTAAAAACACTGAATTGCAATATAACCAAGCTTACATAGTTTTATTTGATAAGCACTCCAAAAACTATACTGACTCAATGCAGTAATAGTTTAACCAATTAGACATGTACATGAAAGGGTGAAGAAATATGAAATGGGAAAAATAACACAGAAAACTTAGAGAAACTTGAAAATGTTCCAGCAGGTGTTAAAAATGTAGTAAACTTAATTTAATTGGGTAACCATAGTTTCTACAGTCATTGACACCATCTTAGCTCAACGGTGGTCAAAAAAGCCTTAGATTACTTTTTGAAGCTTATTTTTCTTGAAATCTATGTGTAGATGTATTTTCCACCTAATAAGAGTTTACAGTTTTGGCAATTATAAATTCAAAAAAATGAGTTACAAGATATGGTTATTATGTTCCTCTTTTCTTTAGCCATGCCCTTTGTTGCTTGGAATATTCAGCTCAGACGATACTATTAAAAAAAAAAATATTCAACTCAGACGATAGGCAATAGAATTCATGAGACAAGGGGAGATGGGCCTTGTTTTTAGTTCAGCTGCATCCCAACTCCCACTCCACAGACACCAGATGTTGCATACCAACATCAATCCTCTCTTATGCTGTGTTCAGAAGGAACAAACTTCTTTTGTTCGGTAGAGATGATACAAGGAAAGAAAGGAAAATAGGAAGGATGACCCATCCTTCTTCCTTTACAAATTTTCATCCGCCCAAAAATGGGCAAAAGAAAGGAGGGAAGACGAGTGTACTGTTATAGAAGTTTTAAATTAAATACTATCCTAAATTATACAAGTTTTAAATTACAGTACTATCCTCCATAAATTACAATAGTATAAATATTATTGGATATAATGGTAAAAACAATTAAAACTTTCTCTTTCCTTCTCTCTTAACGAACATAGGAAATTATAATCTTATTCTCTTCTCTTCTATCCAACCGAACAAAAAGAAGGAAATACACAATCTCTTTCCTAAGGACGTCTCATCCATTCCTCCTTCTCTCCCTTCCATCCAATTTTTTTCTTTCCTACCGAACAAAGCATTAATGAAATCCTTGGTCTCAATAAGAGATGACAGGCTCATCCATAGCTAGGACGTATCATTTTTGTATTTGGTCATTTAGGTTGATTTTCTTGGGTTTGTAAAGAAAAAATTTCAAATGCAGCATATAGTAGTGTCGCCCTCTGTTTTCTTCTGAATCTGTTAGTTTCATTTGATTACAGCATCCTTAAGGTTATTATATTTTGTGATATAAACTTCTACCCCTTTTTTGTGCAGGTGCAGTTTTGAAAAAGGTGGAGGATCAAAAGGGTGTCATTGCTCGATTCGTTGTTGGAAGAAGGTCCATCATCTTACCTTTTTGTATGTGAATTCTTTTTGGTGCTTGACTAATAAATGTGAAGGTTGGTACACTGAATATCATGATGAAATGTTGAGTTGCAGCCCAAGTCGTGGGGACAGTTTGGACATGGGCATTGACAGTGAAAATAGGCAGACCAAGGACTTCATTATTCTTGTAAGTTTGCTGGTCATTGGATTAATTACTAGTACTTTATCTACAATTCATGATGTCATGTTTGGTTGTTTTATGACCCTGTTCTGTTTTAATGGCAGTCTGTCCAGGCATGAAAGAGTGAGCCAATTTTTTCTGTATGATTAGGATGTGAGTCTGTTGCTCTTGCACCTCCCAAGCACAGATTTCCATGTAAATGTATGAATAACTAAATGATCAGAAGAGTGATAAACAAATGATGGAATTGTATTATGAAAATGAAAGAAACCCAAGTGTCAATTAGTAAGCGGCAAAGGCCTTTCAAAATATTGATTTTATTGGAGGGTAAAAGAGAGGAAGGAGAAAAATAAATTGCTTGCACACCAGGAAGTAGTGGTTCTGATTAGGTCAAGTTAAAGAGATTTAAATCAACTTTTGTTGCTAGAAATTGCTGAGATCGTATTCCAAATCATTTTTTCCACTTTGTTGCTGTCCTTTTTTTGTATTTTTCCTTAGACTTCGAGAAGTAATTTTGTCTCTTTAGTGTTGATGTACATGTTACAAATAGAAGGAAAGGCAAATAAAGATCAATAGATAATAAGATACTGATATTTGCTCACAAGTTAACAACAAAAGACCAACTAGATAATATCATATTTTTGGCACCCTAAGCTTGGAAATCCATATTGGCCTTGCCTTTTAGAACCAGACAAACATAGGGTTTGAGTTGGGAGTATACTCAAAGTGCATACCTATTTTTTTTAGCTTACTATTTTTTTTTTTTTTTTTTTTTTTTTTGCTAAAAAGGAAAAAGAAAGAGATTAGAAGAACAAATGCCTCTTTTCAGTAGACTTTGAACGGTGATGCCTCAATAGTTGCCATAGATATTTGGTCAAGTTTAAAACTGTAGTATTGTGGGAATCTGTCATGATCTGCTTGAGAACTCCATTATGTGTAGAGAACTGAGATCCAAGCAAAATTGGAACTTCTAATGAAGTTATAAATAATGATGATGATAACGACACAAGCTCAATTATCTGAGCATTTGTTCTTGTTCTGTTGACAGGAAAGCCATGTGGAGGGACCTGAGGAGCTTTCAAAGAAGACTATGTTGTTCTTTGCTCATGCTGCAGATAACTGGGATGCTGAATATTATGCAAAAGTCAATGACAATGTTTACGTAAATATTGGTTCGTGTAATTATGACATCTTGTTGATGTTTTATGTGAAACCGGTTTTTTTCCTTAAATTGAAAGGGTCAGGTGTAGAATGTTATACTTTCTTTGAAGGTGACTGCTCTTGGGGGACTCTTTGTTGTCTTATAAATAATTTGTCTCTTTTACAATACTTATCTTACAATCTTCAAAGTCATAAGCCATATCCCAACTATTCAGATTCTGCTTCCTAGACCCTGTTTTACCGTTTTAAGTTATTTATATGCTACTAATGTCTTCCAAAATTGAGTGTCAAAGAACTACCAAAAATTGAGCCTTTTTGTTACCTATGCGTGAGTATGCACAAGGAGGGAGAAATTGGTGACAACTTTAATCTTAGGATTAAAGCATGATGGGTTAAATAAAGGGGTGTTTCAGGCATATTGTATAGTAAAAGTAAATTTTATAGAACAAGTATTATAATTAGATCAATTGTACTTTATGAGACATAATGTTGGGCAGCCAACATATAACATATCCATAAAATGAAGGTATAAAGTTTAGATGGATGTGTCATAAAACAACAAAGGAAAGCATAATTTAGGAAGTTCAAAGTAATGTAGATTTTGGGCACAATGACAAAAGCTCAATCATAGTTGATTTTATGAGAGATTGATTTTTTAGTATTCTAAATTTCAAGTGATGTTTGCGTTTTTTCTCTTTGGTAACTCGTATGTTCAATGACAGTTCATGCATGAGACAAATTGGTTCCTTGTCATTAGTTCCTAGTCACTGGTTTAAATTGTTGGTCTAAATTATTTATCCTTTCAGAAGATATTAGGAGAACAATCAGTTTCATTCTACCCTAGTCACTAAGGGTTGATAGACATGTGCAAAAGTTTAAGAGAATTCTGATTTGTGTCTGTTTACGATCTCCTTTCTTATTAGTACATGAAGTTTCCGTTGGAGAAAATACTTTATTAAACAATGAACAAGGACATGGTTATATGAGTGAATTTTGATTGCTGTTTTCCTAATTCTATAGGATGTTCCAATTAGAAGTATACTTTCCTATTGTCGGATGTGAAGGTTGTCCTATATTTTCTTCGCAGATACCCTGGGAAATGCTCTTGCAGCTCATGTGGACAAGCCCCGTGTATACATTGGGTGTATGAAATCAGGCGAAGTTTTCTCTGAACGGTGAGTCTTGCCAAAAGACGCAAGTCATTAAGGAACTTTTTAGAAATTGAATACAATTTGATTATCATTTGTTATTTATATTCACAACCTTGTTTTTGCTTGAGTTATGCAGGAGTCACAAATGGTATGAACCCGATTGGTGGAAATTTGGGGATGCTAAAATGTAAGTGATACTGCATCTGATTCTATTTCGTAGTTCAGTTTTGAAGAGTAATGTTTAGTATAACTCATAATTCTAATAACAATCTGCTGAATTCTCTTTCGTTTGATTTAGGGAAGGCAAGTTTGTGGATTAAAATTATCTGAATGATATTCTGTTTACTGGACTTGCATACATTTTTATATTAAAAGTTGATTTTGCACAGCCAAAAAGAAAAAAAGAAAAGAAAATAAAGGGTGAAAGAAAGCAAAGTTTTATTTAGACCACCTTAAGAATGTTTGCTGCATCATTCTTTACAATGTGTATCCTACATTCAGCACTTTGAAGGACTCTTTGAGCTGTAGAAGTTCTTTTATCACTTAATTGGGCCATAATATGTTTTTATGAAGCTTCAATTCAAAGAGATGTTGACAACTTGCACCCCGACTAGTACGTCAGATTCTCATGTGAACTTAATTGTTGAATTTGAAGAGAGTTGGGGCCCAGGTTGTCTAGCTAGTTGAGCAAGTGAATTATTTTAACTCGAATTTTCTAAAGACCGCAGAATGCCTTAATGCCTTATTTCCTATCCCTTGTTTTTTTTTGGATAAGTATCCCTTATTTCCTATCCCTTGTTGAATTATATCCCTCGTTGAAATATAGAATTATAGATGCACCAGTGGGAAGAGGAATTAATTTGCATACTACATGGGATGAAATCATTAGAAATGATTTTAAAAAGTTAAATGTCAAGGAGAGATGGCTTGTAATAGATTAGAATAAAAAAGAAAATTCATGTGGCCTACCCTATTCGTATGGGATTAAGGCAATGAAGGTGATGATGATGATGATGATGTTGAATTATATCATTACTTAACTAAATTGACTCTACTTATGTGCTTGGTCTTACAGCATCATTCTGCAATGTTTAGTTATTGGAAATTTGCAATTGGAGATTGAAGTTCCAAAAGTATGTTATATTCATTTTACCTTGGATGTTTGTACTTGCTCATGAATAGCTCTCTTATATCCACCAGGTACTTTTACCATGCTTCAGGTGAGCTGTTTGTCATATCCCAAGCCTTAGCTAAATTTATTTCAATAAACAGGTCAGTTCCTTTATACTCAAGTTTAGCACTTCTATCTTTCACACTGATGTGGAGCAGTTGCTGAATCCTTGTTTGACTGAGTTGGCAGATCTATTCTTCGTACTTATGCCCATGATGATGTGAGTGTTGGATCCTGGTTTATTGGGCTAGATGTCAAGCATGTCAATGATGGAAAATTTTGCTGTTCGTCGTGGTCGTCAGGTCTATCTCTCTCTCACACACACAAAGCACACCCATTGTGGTAGTCATGCCCTATAACATCGACAAGTGATTGAATAAATTTTACCATAACTTGACCACTTGAGTTCAAAATAATTTCCCAGCATAACCGTGACTCATCCTGAAGGCATCCTGCCTTCAAAAGATAGGGTGCACCCAACTTTAAGATAATATAAGCCCCCAAGTGAAAATTTATCTCCACGGACATTGAGTTGACATAATAAGCTGCTGAATGAATATATTATTTGTGTTTCAGGAGCTATCTGCGCGGGTGTATAATTTTATTTGCTCCAAGATCCCCAGAAGAATATTGCAAACCAGAGAGGCACAGATGGTCCCTTTTGACATGAAATTATGGCGCAACTGTTTAGCTGTCCATTCATGGAGATTTGATTTAGAGATGAAGAATACCAACCTCTGGTCAACAGTTGATTTCACATCCTGCATTTCGTAGACAAATGTAGTCATAGAGTACATCGGGAAATTTTCTGCAAATTGAAGAGCTGTATGATTTCTAACAAATAATGGTTTCGGAATACAAGCAAACAAAACAATATTAGGAGTTGCTGTGAGCACCGGTGGTGGGTAGTCTTTTAGATCTATTACTTGGTTTGTCGCTGCCTTGTTAATAGTAATGGCATTTTTTTTTTTTTGGGTAAATAGTAGTGTATTACTTTTGTTTGAAATTGAAGGGGAAAAAAATAATAATAAAAAAATTCTGTGTCAGTTATGTACTGACCTGTAATGGATTGTGATTACTTATTATTATTATTATTGTTTTGGTTTGGTAAATACTTCTCACAATACTTTTAGGAGGACTTAAATCCACTACCTTTTTCCCCCCACAAATAACTCTCACAATGCTTTTTAACACACAAGAAGCCTGAAAGGAATGGAAGATTCTGTTAGACTGTTTGTATTACGAGGCCAGTTCCTCGTCCTCCTCCTTCTTTTTTTATTTATTTTTATTTTTTTATAATAAGTATAAGTTAATTTTTTCTAAAAGATTATTTTAACCCAAAAAGAAAAGTATTAATTTTTTTAAATTATAGTAAAATAGAAAGAAAAAAAAATCTTTACAATATAAAGCATTTTATTTTAAACACAACTCTTTGGTTGTTTACACAGAGCTTGTTCATGGAGTAAGAAATTTATTAGCCATGACATCCGGAGTATATAATAATATTATCACTTTTTGAATATGTGCGCGCTTAATTGCTTTATATACCTTTTTTTATGATTAATACTCCAGTAAGGGTATTGCATATTAATATATTACTTTTAAAAGTAATTTGTGTAAAATTTTATTAATTCATTATTATTTTTCACTTGAATATTGAATTTTATTTTCTTCGGGACAATATATCTAACTTCTAATTAGAGCTAATTTGGGAGATTATCAGGGCTGACAATGCAATCGGGTGTTCTTGTATTCCAGTTCTTTCTCCCTTTAATTTGAAAAAAAAAAAAAAAAAGAAAAAGAAAAAAAAAACAGTAATTTGGGAAACCCAAACTCGGTCAGAGAGCTTAGCCACGTCTTCGTGTCCAAACAATACGTCTCTGCTAAGTATTCTATCTAATTTGCTCTGCGTCTCTTTCCTTCCTCTCTCTCTCTCTAAAACCAATGGACTACGATTTCAGGAACAGAACAGGTCCACCATATAGTAATTCACAAGCCCCTATGTACAGGCCAGCCACATCTTCACCGTCGATGTACGGATCACAACCTCTCTACCCTAGGATCGGTCAATCGGGTCAACCCGTCAACGTTCCCGGTGCTCGTACCTCTTCTCAGCATCATCCGACCTCCTCTCCCTCCTCTTCTTGTACGTCTATTATACCATCCCTGTATACACACCGACGCACACATACACAAATGTTATATGAATTTATTGTTCTCCATTTGGTTGCTCAGAGAACTGGGGAAAAAGGGAACAAATTATTATTTTTTTAGCAATAAAACGGACCTTTCAGGCTTATTTATCAATAATTTTTAGCATTTATTTCTGATTATGAATGATGATTTAATGCTTTAACGAAACTTATCAATTACTTATATGTATATATTTGTGTGTTTGATGCGATGCCTGATTTCGTTTCTGCTTTTTGGGTTTCAATTTGCAGCTGGAATTGGCATTAGGGTTGCTATTAAACCTGAATATCGGATTTCACCACCGGTACGATTTTTATTTTATTTTATTTATATATTTTGAGTTTTATTATAGGACTATTACATGTTGTCCTTCTACTAATTACTTGAAATGACTTGATTATATGCTTTGCACTCATAATGATTTGTATTCTTTTTTTTTCGGAAAGTATAATGATTTGTATTCTTGCGTGCACGCACATACGTGTAGGTCAATAGTTTAGACACTGGCTTGATTACTTTGTGATATTTAGTTAATCAACTTAATCCTCTTTTCTGCTTTTGTTTTTTTTATTTTGATTCATTATCTCTGAATGATTTAAGGGTTGTTTCTAGATTGCCACCGATGTTTGATCCTTGATTGAAAACATGCCTCTTGCATTTTTCCTTTTGAGCTATTCATGTATGATAAACAGATATTTTAGCTTATCCTTTGGACTCACTGAAAAGTTCTACACTTATTGCTGCCTATTGACCTTTGTTGCTGCCTCCTTTGACTAAGGAAGGGAAGAGAAACAATTAAGCCGGGAACATGATCAATTGATAGAAAAGGGAAGGGCTAAAGAAAGTAGGAATTATGCTTGAATACTCATCTATTTCACGCAACCCTGTCCAAAAAGATAAATAAAATGCTAGTAAATGAAATTATAGAGCTCTTTGTCAAATGGGAGCATGCTATATCTCAAGTTAGATATGAAATCCTAGAAACTCTTCTTAGATGTAGGCACCCGAATTCTATCCGCAAAGGATGTCAACTTTTAATTTTGTTTATATAGGAAATGTAGAATACCAAGTCAATACAAGTACCAAAAACTTCTTCCAAGAGATTGGACTCCTTTTTATCAGATTCTACTTGTCTCTCCTTCCCAGCCAATGTCATTAGGAATTTCTTATATTCCACATGAATGCTAGCATTTTAATTAGATGAGTAGCATGGTCTCACAAAACCTAAAAGTGTATTTGCACGGCCTTTGTTAGGTTCTCCTAGAAATTGTTTTTATCAAGTCATTAGAATGCTAAATCCTAGGTCAAATATTACTGAAGGAAAGAGGATGTAATTCCTTTGCATTCTCTAATAATCAGAGCTTTATTACTCTGAAGACCAACTTTTTCTTTACTATATGCCATCTCGTATGCTTCCTTAAAGAATCTTCATTCCCAAAATAAAAATAGAGCTAATAAAGTGCTGTTCTTAAGAATCTATCAAGTACTACTAAAACTAGAGTGAAACTATAAAGATGCTGTCCTACTTTCACCAAGTACCATCTAGTAGCTTATAAAGAAGAAGCCAGTAATTGGACATATTCTGTATGAGGGGATTGACTTGTGTTTTGCAAACCATTTCCCAGAAAGATGTCATGTTGATTAAGCCGCCTTATGGCTAGATATTGCTGACATATAAATGGTATATTGTGCATAATTCATTTTGAAGAAAGACCGGTCTGTGTGTCCGTGCATCAGATGGTGAAAAACTGGTCTGTGTTTCTTATGACAAGATATAAAGTACTGCTACTTCAAAAAAATAAAAAATAATAAAATAATAAAAAATAGAGAGAATATTTCTAAAACCATAGCTAAGCTAATAAGATACTATCCCTATTCTATTACCAAGTACTATCTATTAGTAGCCTAGAAAGAAGAGGCTAATAACAAGGACATTTCTGTATGAGGGAATTGACTTGTGCTCGTTGCCAACCATTTCCAAAAGGATATTCATGTTAGTTAAGTCATCTTATGACTCGATATTATTGACGGATCAATTGTGTATTGTGTATAATGCATTGAAAAAAGACTGATCCGTGCTTCGTACGGTGAAGCACATTACTGGTGTCAAATTTATTTATTGTACTAGTCTTGTGTAAGTTGGTGTTTTCAATTGAGATGACTTTCAAATTGAGGGGAATTAATGGCATAGATGGATTTGAAAGACTTAGAGGTGGAAATGCTTTGGATCCAGGAAATTAGAATTGGGACTAGGAGGTAGAGGCTGGTCATCGCAGCAGTCTGACTGAGGATGTTCCAGCAATTCACCCAAGCCTTGCTATGGAGCAGTGCGGAAGCTGATAGCATGTGGAGAAAGGTAGTGGAGGGTGGAAATAGGGGTTGGACCTCTAGTGATATCAGGAGCATGTATGGGGTTGGGCTTTGAAGGGCATTAGGAGGGACTGGAAGGGAGAACTTTTCCAAACACATTGGTTTGTGGTAGGTGATGGCCATAGTGTAAGGTTGTATTTTTTTATTTTATAATTGGAGGTTAGATAGCTTGCATTCCCTAGGGTATAATTTGGAAAGAATGGGAAAGCTGATTCCTAATAAGTTCTAATCATTTATTTTGTATTTCCTTTAATGTTGCCTGGTTTGATTGTGTTTTCCAATTAATTTACTTAATTTTGTAGCCTCAATTGTCACCACAAATTGGAGAAATTCCCAGATGCACTTTGCAGTTTGACTTTGAATTTGAAAAAAAAATACTAGCTGAAGCAGAGAAGGAAAACCAGAATTGGAGCAGGCTAGGCCTGGAAAACCTTCCATCTAAAAGTACAGATTCGACATCGTCTGTGGTATGGTCTTTCTATTTATGATTTATTGCATTCTATATAGCTGGCGATGCATTTGTAATTCGTTTTACTTGATGTATGTAATAAGTATTTAAAGTTTCACGTCTACAGATAAAATTATCATCAGGAATAATGAATGATAGGATTAATATAGGGAGCAAGTTTGTATGGTACTCTTAAGAATATAAAAATGTTTGTTGGTTAAGGTGAAGAGTCGGTAGACTGTGTGTGCATTTGTTTGTTAGGGTGGTGGGTGGGGGTGATGTGAGGAGGCACTGAGGTTCTTATGCTGGCAAGATGGTGAACATTACAAATTAATACATTTCATGTTAAGGTTCACTGAATGTTAGGACTTGAACAAGCAGGGGTAGCACATGGTATTCTGATTTGAACACCATCCGTATACAAGCATACATGTGAACCAAATATGGTCTCTACGCATGTTCCAAACCACCCCACCCCTGCAATAAAATTGCTCTTCATTTGTGGTTAGGTTGAAAAATGACATCATTTCAATTCATTGCAGGGCTCTGTCACAGATCCCATAGTGAGCAAATACATAGCATCAGGTCTCAGCCGAGAGGCTGTGCCCCTTGCAGTGGCAAATTATGGAGACAATCCAACCAAGGTACTCTCTTTAGCTCGTGATTTGACTTTGTAGCTCCCTGTTTACTTTGGAGCGCTGACAAAGTTGTGTAGGTATTATATACTAAAAGCCATAGGCTTTTCTGTTGTTCCCTATTCTTGTAGATGTTGGTTTAGACGGTTCTAGCGTTTTGCCATGCTTCTTGATATTAGATCTCTTCATAAGCTATTGATTCATGCATGATTATTCAAGTATTTGCTTCTATTTTAGAGCTCCGTAAAATATGTTCTCAGTGCTTGTTAATATATCCAGTGTGCCGTCTCCTATATCTATTCTGATTCTGGCATTTCAGGTTAAGGAATTTGTCAATGGTTACAACCTCATGCGGGATATGGGATTCTCATCAAACAAAGTTGCAGAAGCTTTGCTTATGTACGACAATGACACGGACAAGGCAGTGTCCTATTTTCTCAACAATTCGTCTTGAGGATGCTGAGGACAGATAGACCCAGCAGTATTACTCTCTGGGTGATGCTATTATACATTTCCATTTGTGTAGTGTTTATAGTACAGTTTGGTGATGTTATTCTGGTTACAACTTATAAGATTGTAAAAGCATTTCAGGCATAAAAACCAACAAATTACTACTGCTTATTGTGTTTACTTCTACCTGATTTCTCTCTCTCTCTCACGCGCACACGGACACACACGGATGGAGCAGGAAACCATGACAATATCAATACATCTAACTTACAGGTGGTTCACCACACCAATTAAACCCTGGATTGGCAGGTGGTTCACCACACCAACCCTAAACTGACTCTCTCACAAATTCTAAATCACCACCATTTATTTTTGTTCTTGATTTCACCTGCGTTTTCAATCAATATGGCTCAGTGACTGAACGCAGTAGATCTGAAAGATGCTAAGCATATTTATTCAATGGCATCCCTGTGGAGTGTGACTTGGTTTCAAGTCTTCTTGTGGATTCCACATTGTTTTGACCATGCTCACCTTGTATTGGGTTTATTAAATGGGAGCTCAACAGGTCCATCCTTATTAATTATAAAATGTCTATCTAACGCTTCAACTTATGCTCCAGAGATTCAGCTGATTATTCATGTAAACCTCACAATTAATTTATTCTTCAACTAAGTTCCATTATTTCAACATTTAATTTATTCGTTGTTTGGACGTTTCAAATGACTTCCAAGTCTAAGCAAAAAAAATTATAAATGGGGAATTACATAAAAATCTAGTAAGAAGTGGAAGAAAAACAAAAAAAACAGATGAAAAATTAGCAGAAATAAAATATAAAAAAAAAAAAAAGCAACAGTGGAAGCTACTCTATCAGAGCCAGGTTTCGATCCTGGGACCTGTGGGTTATGGGCCCACCACGCTTCCGCTGCGCCACTCTGATTTGTTGAAACATGTAGCTTCTTAATTTTATTTAACACTTGTATCTAACTTAAACCATGCGGACCTTGACAATGTGGACATCCCCTTTGATCGATAAACTACAATCGATCAATCTCGCCCCACACCATCATAATGTTGACAGTCCTCATTCCCCATAGGAACCCAACTGTAAAACCACAATGGCAAATTGGTAATAAATAAGTTTATCTCTTTAATTTAAGTCAAGCATTTTGATGAATGGGCGTTTAGATGTTCAATGGAAACAAAACCTAACCATACCACCAAGTTCTTCATAGTTAAACATCAACAAAGGAAATTCTAGACATGCCCAAATTGCCCATGTGTATGTCCATTTTTGAAATACATTTAATATAGCCATGTCTTGGTTAGGTGGGGAACTCTCATGATATAGTAAAATAACAAGCTTAATGACACCTCCAAGAATATATACTACGAGTATATATATAAAAATGTAATTGGCTTTAAAATAAGTAGTCGTGATGCAGAGGAACATATGGCCAGTGGGATTTGGTGGGGCCATTTGATGTTTGCGCACGCACATACTACGTATATTATTAAATACACACACATGTATGTGATATGCTGTGTAACATTATTTGTTTATTGCAACCATTTGGGTTGTGTCACTTTAATAGGTCTGTCAATGGAGCGGATCCTGATTTAGATTCGATCCGAATTCGATCTAATTAGTCTGATATGGATTGAATAAAAAATCCGATAACCCGGTTACGATCCGAATCCGATAATCAGTTAGCTTAATAAATCGAATATGGATTATGCTGATCCGATCCGATTTATAAATAATTATATATATATAATTATTTTTCAATAATTTTACACATATATATATCAATACTCCTATTAGAATTGTATTAGAGATAACCCAAAAATTCAAAATAATAATAATGTTATATATAAATATTGTGGTGTTCTCATCCACATGCTAATAAATCTCTTAATACACATACTAATAAAATTATACTCTTTATAATTATATATTTTAGAAAATATTAATTTAATCCGATTTCGAATCCGAGCTAAATAGGATATGAATTGGGACATTCAGTCCGAGAACCCGTTAGTGATCTGAATCCGATAATCCATTTGCTTAACAAATAAGATATGGATTTGATCGATCCGATCCGAATCCAATCCACTGACAGGTCTACACTTTAGTGGTCTAGTCTCCTAGCAATGGTCGGCAGAGCATTTTGTTGGACACATCATGTGGTGGTTCGCTTCACATGGCACTTAATTCTTTCAATCTCAATTCTCAACCCTGAATGTGATGTGAACATGACAAGAAGCTAATAGACAGTGCTATCATAGGGCCTTTCTTGTAACACATAGCAATAGTCAACTTTCATGGTAGTTTTAAATTATTAGGTTTAGGGAAAAATAAAAAAGGTTGGATATTAGAGAATATATAAGCAAAACTATGTAAATACTCATTCAACATTTTAGTTGGAAGTTCGCTTTTAACCTTTGTATGTTTCCTTGGTGGGGACTTCAACTTTGAGTTAGCGAACCGGCATGTGATATATACAGTATGTAATATGATAGCTTTACTTTGAGTGTCCTACTACATTATACATAGTAACACGCAATCTTATGTCAGTTAATGTTTTCACATTACATATTAAGTAAAGATCAGTATTAAATATTCCGAAAAATAGTACTAGGGGCAATGATAATTTTTGGATCATTGATGTGGTGGTGGGCTCATTACATTCAAGGGTGGGATGATCCTTTGGGCACCATACCCCCACGGCACGGTATTTAATATATATATATTTTTGGTTATATGGATGGATTTTTCAAATTTATTTGTCTAATTAAAATGTTTTCTATCCATTTTATACTATGGATAAATTAAAGGTTCGATCTCATTCCTTACATTAAAGGAATAAAAATCATTATGTTAGATAAATGGGTATTGACAAATCGATTTATGAATCATTTTCCCTACATATTAAACATTTAGAGTTGAAAATTGAAGGTTGAGCCCCCTTGAGCTACCCCCAAAAATATTTTAGATAATTGTTCAGCCATGTTGGACACTAGGATAGGGAAATTACAGGTGGTACACTAATGGACCGCGGAGTGTTATAAGAGTTTTGACATCACTATTAATAAAAAAAAAAAGGAAAAAAAAGAAAGAAAGAATATATATAGTCAAACCGTCCGACTTATTCGTCTGTCAGATTTTCTAATAGGACTTAAAATAAAATAAAAATAAAAGTCACATTCAATACACGATATTCACAATTAATTATTAATTTGTTTACAAAGGAAAAGACGAGATAGTATTAAATTAAAAACTTGGTATTAAAAATCATCCTCCGTAGGGGGAAAGTCAAGGCTTGCATGAGTGAGTGATAGATAAATCAAAACTTAAAATATGTGGCATATTTGCAGAGCTTGCTTGTATATTATGTAGTAACACGCAATACATAGTAACACGCAATATTATGTCAGTTAATGTTTTCGCATTACATATTTAGTAAAGATAAATATTAAATATTTCAAAAAATAGTACTCAGGGCAATGGTAACTCTTGGATCATTGATGTGGTGGTGGGTCTCGTAACATTCAAGGGTGAGATGATCCCCTTGGCACCATATCCTCAGTATTTAATATATATATATATTTTTTTTTCGTTATATGGATGGATTTTTCAAATTTATTTGTCTAATTGAAATGATTTCTATCCATTTTGTACTGTAGATAAGTTAAAGGTTCGATCTCATCCCCTGCATTAAAGGAATAAAAATCATTATGCAAAATAAATCTATTTTGACAAATCGATTTAGGAATCATTTTACCTACATATTAAACATTTAGAGTTGAAAATTGAAGGTTGAGCCCCCTTGAGCTACTCCTAAAAAATTTTTAGATAATTGTTCGGCCATGTTGGACACTTGGATAGGGAAATTACAGGTGGTACACTATGGACCGCGGAGTGTTATAAGAGTTTCGACATCACTATTAAATATATATATATATATATATATATATATATATATATATAATCAAACCGCCAGACTTATTTGCCTATTGTCAGATTTTCTATCAGGACTTAAAATAAAATAAAATAAAATAATCACATTCAATACACGATATTCACAATTAATTATTAACTTTTTTACAAAGAAAAAGAGGAGATAGTATTAAATAAAATACTTGGTATTAAAAATCATCCCCCATAGGGGGAAAGTCAAGGCTTGCATGAGTGAGTGATGGATAAATCAAAACTTAAAATATGTGGCATATTTGCAGAGCTTGCTTGTAATTACAAAATGTTTATAAGTCAAAAGTTTGATAACTTAACCAAGGACCTAGCTGTCCATATGACTATTCTTGTAGCAGCCTTCGAGACCTAATGTGACATTTTCCATGTTTAAAAAAAGAAATTTGAGTATTAATATAAAGTTCACACAATTTGACATTTAGAGAATATTTTAGCAATAATGAACCTTGGATATTGTCATTTTAATTGGACCTCATGATGTGTCCTCTGCATTTGTCCTCATATAGCACCAATAGTAGAGCCATTAATAAATTGCACGTGCTACGTTCATCTCATGTTCCAAAGCTTCCTAAACTGGACAACCATTTTAAATGCTCTACTGCTGGAATCATGGAATGGACATTCAATTCAACAGTAACATATAGTATTTTTGTATTAATTCAGAAAAAATTTAGATGCTATACGCATGAAAATTTTAAACAACACTTAGGGTTCAAAAATATGTCAAGCTTTAATCACTTTTCATTTTTTCCTTAAATTAATTAATGCTTATCAATCAAGTATATGATGGTTCATTCTTCATCTCTTTTCGAACTTTAACACAACAATTAACACTGGGGAATTCAGGGATAGGCTTGGGTACGTTCAATTCCATTCCAAATTTTATTTATTTATTTTTACTATACCTAATTTTAGTTCAGCCAATATATATATATATATATATATTACTACTATTAACCCCTTCTCCAAAAGCAACTAAGCATAAATTGTATATTCACAAACAAAGATAAAACGATGATTTATTCTTTATTCTTTTTCGAACTTTGATATTACAGTAAAATTATTGATATAGAGGCAACGAAACAGGAACAACACATTCACATATGAAATATGTGAATCTGTTAAAAGTCTTATGCTATAAATTTCTATTCTTCATCCTTGTTAACAGTCTTATGGAATGGACTAGACTTTTTTATATTATAAGTAGAACAAAACACATTTTTGTATGGCAAAATTAAATTAATTTGAATTATCATATTAAAAAAAAAGGGAAAAAAATGATCATATGTCATTTAGTAGGAAGAAAGAAAATAATACACACTTTAAGCATTTAGGCCTAACAAAAAAAAAAAAAAAAAAATTGAAAATGATATTCAAACAACTATTATTTTTATTTAACTGGTTTCCTCTTGCATCATTATTATCCAAGGACTAAGGTTAGCATTTGCTTGACGAAGAAATTACGAAGTCAACCACTTCTAGAGGGTGGAGAAATATGTATGTACAACTATTACTATTCATATTAATATTATACAAAATTCACATGCAAAGTATATAGATTAATTTCTTTTTCTTAAATATATATATATATATTTGTTCAAAGCAATTTGAAACTTAACATAATAGCATTTTATTTTTTTTTCTAAAACCTCTCCACATATTGCGTCCTAAAACATTAAAATATTTTCTTTGCTTTCTGTTTCCGCAAGCAAAACCAGGCCACTTTTAATCATCACCGTCAAGTACGCTCTCTCCTCTCTCTCTCTCTCTCTCTCTCTCTCTCTAACTGTTATTCCGAAATGATGGTGAGAACGTACTGTAACTGCCGTTTGTTGAATCCTCAGGAGCCCTAGTTTAATTCCGGTAGAGAGAGAGTGTGTGTGTGATTGGTCGTTTTTTCTACGAGCTTTGGAGAGTGAAGAATTGGGCATTGGTTCGATCTGATCCTTCTCGAAACTAAGGTCAGTTCATTTTCTTCTGAAACTGTCGATTCTTTTAAAAGCTATGTTTGTTTGGTGAGAAAATGTAAGAAAAAAAACTCCAAAGCTTCGAATCCTTAGATTTTTCATATTTAGGAGCCACAATTTGAAGCCTAATACAGTCCAATTGATTATTATTTTTTTTTTTCCTCTTTCTATCCCAATTGTGTCACCCATAGAAAAGAAAAGAGTAGAGTGCAAATTTTCTTTCCGTTTCTATTGTTTTCTCACATGCCAAACAGTGGAATGAAACAGTTGAAGGAGCAGAGGTGAGTAAACGGTCGGAAGAAAGCTCTATTTGTTTGTTTGTTTGTTTTGTTTTGTTTTTTTTCTTTCTATAAAAGCCCAATTAATTTTCGTTTCTTTTGACCATAACAGTCAATTTAAAGCCTCATAAGTATATACTTTTACTGTAAATTTCCTGAAAACGGCTTTATTTTTTATTTTTGAAAAATGTATATAAGTGTAGTATATGATTGAGTATTGTTTCAGTTTCTGATTTTGCTTTTTCCTTGTCTAAATTCATATAGATGCGAAAGGATTTGCAAAAACCAGATATACTTCTACAAAACGACCCTTTTGTGTGAGCTGTTGGATCTTTGATTGAGTGAGAAAATGGCTTTCAAGTTCATTTTCCCGGCAATTTTCTTTTTGGGAATTCTTCTATCGATTGCAAACTCTGAACCATTTGATGATAAACTAGCCCTACTTGATTTTCTCCACAACATTACTCACTCACGCCCTCTAAATTGGGATATGAGTACTTCTGCCTGCACTAACTGGACTGGAGTGACATGTAACCATGGCAACTCCAGAATCATCGCCGTCCGGTTACCGGCAGTAGGGTTAAACGGCCCAATTCCGATGAACACTCTTAGCCGCCTATCAGCTCTTCAGATCTTGAGTCTAAGATCCAATGGCTTATCTGGTCCTTTTCCTTCTGATTTCTCCAAATTGGGAAATTTAATTTTGGTGTATCTTGAATTCAATAAATTTTCTGGCCCTTTGCCTTTGGATTTTTCGGTTTGGAAGAATATCTCCGTTATTGATCTATCGAACAATGCGTTTAATGGTAGTATTTCTTCTTCAATTACAAATTTGACACACCTCACTGCTCTGATTCTTGCTAACAACTCACTTTCTGGTGAAATTCCTGATCTTAATACCCCTAGTCTTCAGCTTATAAATTTATCCAATAATAATCTGAGTGGCACTGTCCCTCAATCTCTTCGGAGATTTCCTAGTTGGGCTTTTGTCGGTAACAATTTTTCTATGGAAACTTCAGTCCCTCCACTTCCTCCGGTTGTTCCACCTAATGCTCAACCATCAAAGAAATCCAAAAAGCTCGGTGAATCAGCTATTCTGGGGATCGTAATCGGAAGTTGTACTCTGGCGTTTGTGGCACTTGCTGTTCTGCTGGTTGTTTGCTACTCAAATAGAGAAGGCAAAAATGGATTCCCTGCAAAGTCTCTGAAGAAAGAAGGATCTGTAAAGAAGGCAGCTTCTGGGAGCCGAGATGGGAATAGCAGGCTCATGTTCTTTGGGAGCTGTAATCTTGCATTTGACCTCGAAGATTTGTTGAGGGCTTCTGCTGAGGTGCTCGGGAAGGGAACATTCGGTACTACGTATAAGGCAGCCCTGGAGGATGCAACCACTGTTGCAGTAAAGAGATTGAAAGAAGTGAGTGTAGCGAGACGGGACTTTGAGCAGCAGATGGAGGTTGTTGGAAATATCAGGCATGAGAATGTAGCTGCTTTGAGGGCATATTATTATTCCAAGGATGAAAAGCTCATGGTATATGACTATTATAATCAGGGCAGTGTATCGGCAATGCTACATGGTATGTTAAACATCTTCAATCTCTTTCGCTGCTGCTACTTTGTTAACAATTTTATCAATTCTGTTCATCGTTTGATTGTAATATATATGCTTTAAGGAAATTGGTGTTTTGATGCTATGTAGGGTTAAAGACATTACCATGATTTAGTTTCAAAATTACCATGCTTTCTTTGGAACATGCATGCTTTAAACAAATGCAAACCGTGATTTAGAGACCTCATCTGTTCTGACCTGTATGTTTGTGTACCCATCCAGTTCTGTGCCGGACTTGTTCTCAACAATACTCCTTGGAGCTCATTTTTCCCCAGTAGCACATGTTAATGACAATTTAAAATGTTAAGTATCCCTTTCGTGTTTAGCTTTTAAGTGGCAAGGCATTACATAATCTTCCAATTCATAATTTGCTATACTCAAGTTGGTTATAGTACTTGAAAGATTTTGACAAAGTGCAGGATTTCAAGTTTGTGTAATTGAAACAAGGATTTTATATTGCAAGCCATGGAGGAAATTAGTTCCTCCGAGAGAAATTTGATATGTCACATCAGCAATTGGTTGACGTTCCACATATATTTCTTATTCGCTCTTTAGTAGGATAAACTTTAAACTGTTATGAAATCTTGTATCACAACTTATTACCATGCCTTGGAATTTGTTATAAGATCTACATTTCATCATCCTGCATCTTCTAATCCTCCATTAATGTCGTTTGTAATATCTGAAGAGAGTTCTTGGTCACAATGATGCAATTATGTTCTAACACATCCCTAATTTTGCAGCAAAAAGAGGAGAGGATCGGGTTCCCTTGGACTGGGAAACCCGACTACGAATTGCAACTGGTGCAGCAAGAGGCATTGCTCATATCCACACAAGCAATGGTGGGAACCTTGTCCATGGAAACATAAAAGCCTCAAACATTTTCCTCAACACTCAACAATACGGTTGTGTGTGTGATCTTGGTTTAGCAACATTGATGAGCCCAATGGCTCCACCAGTCATCCGGAGCATAGGGTATCGAGCCCCTGAAGTAACAGATACCCGAAAAGCGTCCCAAGCATCTGATGTCTACAGCTTTGGAGTCTTGTTGCTTGAGCTTCTCACAGGGAAGTCCCCCAGCCATGCTACAACCGGTGAAGAAGTTGTCCACTTAGTCAGGTGGGTTAATTCTGTAGTTCGAGAGGAGTGGACAGCAGAAGTGTTCGACTTAGAGCTTTTGAGGTATCCTAACATCGAGGAAGAGATGGTAGAGATGTTGCAGGTAGGGATGGCTTGCGCAGCAAGAATGCCAGAGCAGAGGCCAAAGATGGTGGATGTTGTAAAGATGATGGAGGATATCCGACGTGTCAATACTGGTAATCCGTCACCATCTGAAACAAAATCGGAGGTTTCAACACCAACCCCAACCGTGACACCACCAGCTCCTAAAATAGGATCCTCTTCTGTTTTACAGTGAGCTTCTTGTTTATTAGAATCTGGTTGTGACAAAAATATTTTTTAACAATTCTTGTGTGAAGGGCTAGGCACATGGTTTAAATTAGTAGAGTCGTCATTGTATCTTATTTTTCTTCTGTACAGTTGTACCTAAGACTAGTTTACCTATCTGGTCCAGCCTTTATGTCAAAGTCGGGTTGGTTGACTGTATTAATTTGTGATCACTGGGTTATTAAGAAGTATGTGGTTTTGATTATTTATGCTGAATAATGAATTAGTCTCTCTTTATGTGTTTGTACGTTCGCCCACTGGGACAGATTCAATAAAGACGTGTTACACGAGTAGAAGTAAAATTTGTTTTTACTTTTTTTCTTCCATGAATATGACACTTTTAGAACACAAAAGGTGCTTTTGCAACTATTCTATATAAATAGTGCTCCAATGTATTATTAATAGGGTTAATTAAAATAATAATATAGAAGTTTTAGAATACAAAAATAATATCTATCTAATTCCAAATTCTCTTCCCCTCTCCCTTAGTTCTCTCCCTCTATTTGCCCCCAGTCCCTCCCATGGGAGTGGGGAAGTGTCAATCCTCTCTAATTTTCTCTCCATACCCTCTCTCTCTTAAACCCACCCCTTCTTCCCCTTCGTTTTTCTTCTCCCTGCTCCCTTCTCTGGGAGTGTGGAGGTGCCGTTTTGTCTCCTCGAAGATCTCTGTTATCAGAATCTCTCTTGTTTAATTGAGAGTTTGTGTTTTTCGATCTCATGTTTTGAGCCGTCTCAGCGAATGGATGATTTTTTGGATCGCCGGAGATGGATCTGTTTGGATGATCCTTTATGAAGCTTCTTTTTGTGAAATTTGCGATGGGAAGTGGATTTGCTGCATCTGAGCACTATGCCGGAGTCCGACGTTTCTGGTGCTTGCAATGTTGTGCTCCGTCGTCTCCGGCAATCCTATGACGTCATAGCTAACGTTTTGGGCTGATATTTTCGATGTTTTATTTTCCTTGCTGGTGGGCCCGGTTCTCGACTATGCTAACACCTTCTAGATATAGATATAGGTTGTTGTAAAGTCCTATGACGTCATGACCGACGTTTTGGGTCAATATTTTTGATGTTCTATTTTCCTTGATGGTAGGTTCAGTCCTTAACTATGCTAATACCTTCTAGATATATGTGGTTGTCAAGGCTGTACTCTTAACATGAGTGGGTGTTAGTTTTGCTTTGAATAGTTCTGTGTTTTGGGTTTCATATGCTGGGACAGTTCCAGCCCCTTAGGATTGTGGAACTCAATTTGTTTCGACTTCCAAGGAAAGAAAGAAATTACAATTTTTGTTCTTTTTGGATGTAGGGGCTTGACAGTTGACACAACCTGTCATGGGCACATAAGCAAGCATGAAGCAACAATGATGTTCACACGAAGGTTGCTGAACCTTGCAGGATGGAATAGGAACCTAGCGTGTTCGACCAAAAAGGCCTCATACTCGATAGTTTATGAGCAAATTGGGTTTCACCAAGAAGGTTCAGTCTCAGACTTGTCAATCTAGGAACACAATCTGGGCTGCGCGTTGAAATTGATTTTTTTTTTGCACAATGCTATACTCGAGTTTATTGTTCACTTGAAGTTCGACTTGCTACCATTCTATGTTACTTCTACAAGGACATGAATCACAAAATTTCCCAAACAAGTAATGTCACGAGCAGTTTCTTCATTGGAAAATAATTTTACATTTGGATATGAAGATCTCAATACTCACAAATAAAATCATTCATATGAAATATGTTTGAAGTTTAAACAATTACACAAAAAATTTAGTTTCAAATGATGAGCTACAATATCCGGTAAAGTTGAGCTTAAGGCTGAGCAGAACCTCCAGTTTGCAGTGATGAAAGAATCAGTAAGGAACAATGGAAAATGTCACACACCCAGTAGTTAGAAAAATAATCTGATTTATCTTCTTCAATATTACAAGATTTTATTTATTATTATAACAGTTTTATATCCAAAGGTCCATGTCAATGTCCCATCGGATGGTCAGTTTCTCTCCATCATACTTGTACTATTTTAATTATGTGAATGTGCCATATGATGATCTCTCTATTATGAATTAACTATTATTGTTATTATTTTTGTATTTTAGAGTTTGGCAAAAGATTTTGGGGATTTTGAGCACATGATCCTAAAACAGGTCCAGCGTAGAGATTGGAAAGATAATGTAGCACCGCTTTCAATCTCTACGCTGGACCTGTTTGAGGACCATTGCTGCCCTACAACACAAAAACCTACTAGTAGGTTCAGAATCCCCAAATCTTTTCACTAAAATAATACTAACAATAATAGTTAATTCACAATAGAGAGATCATCATATGACACATTCAGATAATAAAAATAGTACAAGTATGATAGAGAGAAACTGACCATTACATGGGACATTGACATTGACATAGACCTTTGGATATAAAACTATAATAATAATAATAAATAAATAAAAAATCTTTGGGTGCAAAACCTGGAATAATTACTTCATAAGGACCAAAATCCTTTCTCAGTGAATGGTATTACAGATCAACTTCCTCAAACTGAACTTCCTTCAGCAGATAAGCAGCTGCACAATACTCAAACCTGCAAAAATATGGGTTCATGTGCTAGTAAGGAAGCAGCATTCAGGGGAGAGGGAAGGCGCTTTGTCACAATTCAACAGTAGTTCAAACAATTAAAAGAGTTTGATAAATGTACACAACTGGAATGACCAAATCTAGGTGCATGCTCAATGATACTCCAATGAGAAGAACCGAGTTTCACTAAAAAGGGAGACAGTACTATGCAAGAAAAATTCTATGGATAATATTATTACAAGTATGTAGCATAAGTTATCTAATTATAGAAAATGCCTCAGGAAGCATAGTCTAAGGTTCGACTCCTCTTGAGTGCAAATAATTCCGAGAGGGGGTGAGTATCAACTAGGGGAAAGAAAATACCACACTTCAAATTATGTAATATCCTTGCCTATCATTACTTTCCTTATTAAAGAACAAAAAAGAAAAAAGAAAAAAGAAAAAAAGAGGACATATGCTATCGCCGGCTCAACAAGTTCCTCACCAAAATAAATTATTTATTTATTTATTAGGGTAAAGTGCAAGACCCTTCTACTATACCTCAAGTGCAACTTACCCCTCGAACTACAAATAACCCCTCAGCTATGAATTTAGTTTAGTTTTAGGACAGAGAATGTTATTCCGGTTACCTCCCTTTACCAGAAATTCATAAAGTCTATTTTGCCCTTTAGGTGAAAAGTGTCGTTTAAGACTTAGAAATAAGTTTAAAATTGGTAAGCTTATGTGGGACCACTGTAATCCACAAGAGCCACTAAAATGTGGACACCTATCCCAACCTTATCTCTCCCCTTCACCAAACCACCGCCTTACTCACGTCGTATACACCCATATACAAGCCATTTACAGTTACTCCTTTGTCTGAGAAGTATAAATCAGAAGTCCATAATCTGATAGTTTTTAAGTGAAGATGACAAGAAGCCGACATATCCATATATCCAGAAGAAAGCAGATTGTTTAGAGAGAGAAACCTTGGGGGTTCGATTTGAGCAGGGTGAGTTAGGCCGATAGTGGCCTAGGCAAGAGGGTAAGCCATGAGCTTCTTGTTACGTGAATGCACGATCAAGTGTGAGTGTGACCCTGCAAATGAAAATCGCAGCACTGGAATTGGATTGGATTGGATTGGATTGATCACAATTTCGCGAAAACAGAGGAAGAAGATGAGGTTGAATTGAAAAGCGAACAGAGTGTTAAGAGGGAGAATTTGTCAGATCAATTCACATGCATCCTGTGATTTCAATTTGAATGGACAACCTTTGTTCTCGTTGCCGTCCACTGCTTCACCGTATCAAATGCCGATCGTTTGCGGACTTTCTTGCCTGTGTTTCGTCGCCATTGGTAAAACACGCCTCGCCGTCAAGCTATTACGGCAAGGAATTGGGGTCTCCGCTTTCATTGGTCTAGTCCGGTCATTGCTTATCTCTTTCTTCTCTATCGGTGAATTGAGGGAAAGAGTGCACCAATAAGGGGATGAAAAAGCAAGAAATAGGGAAGTAGAGTAGTTAGCACATGCTGGTCAATCCAGTAACGTACTATTGCTTTCATTCTTTCTATTCAATATGTCATCTCTCCCAATATTTCCACTCTCCGGTAATACTTCCTCCAGCCCTTCCTGCTCATGTGAATTGGATAGGGGGATGCCATACATAGTGGAGCACCACAGATCAATGGAGGAAGAACAAGGAGTGAATTGGGGGAACTTATAGACGTTAGGGCTTGTTTAGTTACTAAGTGGGTCTAACAGTCTTTCAAGGGTATTATGGTCTTTTACATTCAATAAGGGTTGTATGGTCATTTAGATAAATTTGGGCTCTCATGTGCAAGGCATGTGTTAGAAATTGATCGGCCGGTTGCCGGATTGGGTTTTTTGCACTTTACCTTATTTTTTATGCAGTTATGTTTCACCCTTCTAAATGGCAGCATTTTGGAGAAGTCTGATCAAACAACTCCCATATCAAAACTTCTTTTTCAGACAAAAGAGTGTTGCCTTAATAGGATAGAATAGGTCTCTGCAAAGTCATAAGACCATGTATGCGGGTTGACGTATGTCCAGTGCAAGAAGGTCAAATAAGTTGTTGACCTGATAACAGGGGAGCTGGTGATATCAACATCTATGAAATGGTTTCACGGGATACAAGCAATTGTCTTGATCGTGGAATATCATAGAGAAATAGGAATCAATGTTATCAAAGGATAATTTGGATGAGAAATAGGAATCAATGTAATCAAAGGATAACTGCATCCCATTTCCAAAAAAAAAATCCAATTGTCTGGACCTTTCTATTTTTGGATAAATCACTTAATGGAAGTAGATTTATCTTTCCACTCATTTAAAAACTCTTAAATTTTATTATTTATTGTTTTTTGGTTTAAAGTTTTTATTTATTTTTATCATATTGTTGTTCATGGTTGCCTCACTAAAGTAAAATTCAGGCTTCCCCACTGTTTCCAGAAACGTTAAAGAAGCAGTTGGAAGGGCAAGTTTGGTTTATTTTAATTTCACTCAACAACATTGGGGTCAGTAGTGCCATCAAAAACTAGACTTGAGGGGTGTGTTTTAGTTCTGAGTCTATGATAAAGTAAGAAACAAAATAATGGTGAACACAATCGAAGAACACACAAGGAAGTGAGAATTCCTTCTCTGGGAAAAGAAAAAAAAAAAAATTTAAAGAGCAAACTCCATTAAAATGAAATTAAGATTTAACCATACTCGCAAAGAGCTCAAAATCCAAATGAAAATTAATTTTTCAATCTAGGAATTAAGTCACAATGCCGCTGAGATCAGAGAGAAAAAAAAAAAAAAAAAAAATGATTCAACCTGAAAAAACCCACCTTGATTTATCAGAGAAAATAAAAATAAAAATTACACGGCAAGGTTCACACCATATTATACATTCCAGGACAAGTGTTATCAACAATTGGATGAATCAATACCACAGGGTGACCGTGTTAAACGAAAATGGATTCAAAGCAGCAATCCATCAATGCTGTTGTTAACATATTCTTAAAAAAGCACTGATCTCAACTTTATTCATGATATAACCTCATTTAAATGAAAAATTAAAAATACCAAATCATATAAAAAAAAAAATCACTGGTACAAAATTCAGATAAAATTGAGTCAAACAATGCTAATATTCAAGTTCAGTAACAATCTAGATACCTTATTTCTCGAGAATCTTCATGAGGCAAGTCCGTGAAGGGACGTCGAGATAGTGACCCTTGTAATCTCTGTGAATCGAGGGTTTTTCTTCCGACCTTGACCCCATGATCTCGGTTATTGATCTTCCATCGTCGGTTTGGACTCGACGCTGCCATTGGCAGTGGTTGCAGTTTGGTGGTGTAGGAGACGATGGTGGTGGCTATCGCATCTTTATCCAATCAACTAATTGGCAGTGTGTATATATATATATCTTATATTAAGGAGAAATATACAAACCAGATTTATACAAGAATCCGTGTATATATACAGAAATCCAAGTATATAGTTCAAACCTTGACTTTATAAGCCAAGCGACTTCATCCCTTGTTCATCGATCCTCTCCTTTGTCCCCATCGCGTTGTTGACCATCTCCTCACAAATCACATGGCTGCAAAAGATGTAGCCTACACCAGAAGAAGAGAGAAGAGGGATGCGGCGGCAAGAATGAGAAAAGTTAGGGCTGAGGTGGGTATTAGTTTGGAGATATTAGGTTTTTTTAATTTTAAATGCATATGGGCTTATAAGTTGGACTTCCGAAGTACAATTATGGGTCAGCATTATGATATGGGTTTAAGTATAATTGTAATTGTGATTATTTATATGAGTTGAGAATAAATCGATTAAAATTTTATGTTTGTCGAGCTAAGTTCAATATTGTTCGGATTCGGCTCATTATTAAACAAGTCAAAAAATTGGGCTCGAGCTTGGATAGTTTGCTTAACGAATGAGCCTGAATTGTTTTTTAACAGTTTGGTTCATTTGCAGTCTTTTAATACTGTGTTTGAAATGAAGGAAAAAGCATATAAAAGAAGGGACGTGAAGAGAGAGAAAATAGAAAGAAGGGAGAAGAATAGAGTGGAAAATATTTACTTTGATTCTTTGAACTTTTAGAAGACGTGAAGAGAGAGAAAATAGAAAGAAGGGAGAAGAATAGAGTGGAAAATAATTTCTTTGATTCTTTGAACTTTTAGAATGAAATAAAACGAAATTCAAAGAAGGGAAAAAAAAAAAAAAAAAAAATTAGTAGAAAGAATTTTGATTTTTTTTTTTCTTGAGAAAAAAAGTGTACAAAATTAAGGAGGAAAAAAAGATATAAATAATTTTTTATTTAATTAAGAAAAATATATATATAGCGATGCTTCCCCTATATTCTCTTTCTTTCTTTCTTTTTTTTTTTTTTTGGGTAAATCTATATTCTCTTTCTTGATATTGAATAGAGTCATTTGGGTTGTAATAAATTGTCTTTGTTGTTTTATAGATTTTTGACCAAACTATTTAAGTTTGTGAGAAAATTTTGTTTTATTTTCTTTGGTGTGATAAGATGAATTGTGATATTAGCTCCGTTGGTTGGATTATTAATTTATTTTTATTTTATAAATATTTACGAAGACTCAAAAAAAAAAAAAAAAAAAAAAAAGGAAAATTCTATTATGGGAGCCCAACTCCTGTCATCTCCTCTAACAAAAAGAGAAATTATACCAAAATAATGCTTCCTAATATTACCAATATGTTAAATTTTGTAGCTAGGCATACAAAATTGGGATTGTGCATGATGTAATTTGGTACAATTATAGTCTAAATTGGAATCGAACCTATTCTGTTCCTAAAAAAAAATAGAAATCCAAATCATGGAAGGCTGATTCTGTGAGATTCTGAACCATTATTTATTTTTTACATCTTTCAAAAGAAAAAAATAATAATAACGAATTACATAAATTTGACTTATCAAAGCAAATATAAGTTTATATTAGTATAAAAGTAATAATAAACCTCTCCACTAAGCAATAAAATATATTTGTAATCTAAAAGTAAATGAATTGTCATCTTGTTTTGTTAAATAAATAAGAAATTTAAAGGTAAAAAATTATTTGAGAGTAACTTTATTTTTTGTGTATTTGTGTGTAGTTTGTGATATATGTTAGTAGTATTATTATTTATCAATATTATTATGTATATACCAAAGGACTAATTGGCCCAACAGTATTATCCCTTTTATTTCAAAAGGGGGGTTGGGATTCTTGGTAGAGGTACGGTGTGTGAGTAATTACATTAACTTTAAAAAAAAATTTATAATAAATAAATATTATATATATATATACACACATAATGAATTTGGTTTAAAAACCAATATATATATATACATAATGAATTTGGATTAGAAACCAAAATCGGAAAAATAAATTTGTGATTTAAAAATCGAAATCCAACTTTAAAAGAAACAATGGTTTCATTTGACGGATTTCACGGTTCCAACTATTTTTATTCACTCCGTTGAGCTGTATACGATAGTGTAGTTCTGCTGCCCAGCTGCCATTTATCTGGATCCGACTCAAACAAGTTGAAATCCAGTCATTGTGAACCTCAAACGACATCGTCTACTTATACATAGCACTCCAATGGAAACAATTTCCTTTGCTTTTCTTCGACCCCTTTCGGCGGAAATGTTCTCTTGTGGAGCCCACAGCACACAGTAATCCAATCAGGAACGATTACGAATGCAGTCGAAACTGGAAAGATATCAGAGTTGTAGAGAGAGAGAGAGAGAGAGAGCAGGCGATTTTATAGAAGTCGTCTCCATACAGAATCACCATTTCCTCCGCCTTTCCTTCTCCTTCCACCGGGAAAAGGAAAATAAAGTCCCTCCGAAGAACCAAAAGACAGAGGGAGGATCTGATCTGATCTGATCTAATCTAATCCTCCTCGGGTACAATTTTCATTCCTTGCGGCTCTCTCTCTCTCTGTGTATGTGTATGTGTATATGTATATGTATATGTATATGTGTATGTAGAGTTGTGTGTCTATTATATTTAATCAACTAACGGTTGCTGATCTCGATCTGAGCTGATATAGCTGTTGAAACTCAGGTCTCGCTATGGCTTCTAAGCGGATCTTGAAGGAACTCAAGGATCTCCAGAAGGATCCTCCTACATCTTGCAGCGCTGGTATCACCTTTCCTATACCTTAATATATGTATATATATATATATACATGCGTCTATAGTAGTATAGACCTATTCGTACATATTCATATCTATATGTGTATATATCCAACGAGTATTTGTGAGGTAATACTGGTTGATTTATGCTGGTAGTTTTTGTTTTTGATGAGATTCTAATGTTGTGTTGCCGTTTCAAAGTCGTAGTTGATTATTTTATTTTCGTCCCTACCCTTTGTGTAAATTACTGTACTTGTTTTCAAGTTTGATATCTGGGTTTAGTTATAAAAAGATAAAAATAAAATAAAATAAAATTTGATATCTGGGTTTGTTATGCGAAATTCGTGTTATGTTTTGGGTTTAACTTTTAGCGGCCCTTGACCTTCTGCGTTTGGTGGATGAGGATCCTTTTTCCTCCTTTAGAAGGTCTTCCCTTTTTTAGTAGCCAGACATGTCATTCCCGAGTCATTTTCCAACTCGGTTCCTTGGGGTGGTTTTCATTGTCATGCCAAAAGGTCAAGGATTGGAGTCATGCATGAAAGGTTTTGTAAATCAATCAACATACCAAAAGCTAATCTGGCTTCCTCATGGTGATAAAATGGTCAAAATTAGTTCAGATGCATCTTTGTGTAGATCAAAAGGTGAAGACCGTAAAGTAGTTGGACACATATCAGCAAGGGACTCTACAAATATTCTCAAAGCTGCAACCTATTTTTGGAGTCATGTTTTGAAGGTTTTTATTGCATAAGCATTAGTTTTAGGGCAGGCCATCGAGCAATCTTCTCTTTGGGGCTTTCAGAGCTGTGTTACTGAAGGGATACCCGATTGGTGATCCTAGTGTAGCAGAGGCTGTAATCAAGGATCTATATGCAAAGACGTCGAAGCAAAATACAGCTTTTGAATTCCCTTTTTAACTTTTTATGAAAAATACAATTGCATACTGTATTTCTCATTGATGTTTCAGTGATATTATATTATCAAAATAACATGTATGCTTTTTGATGCTTCCTGGTCCTCTATTTGAATCTCGTCAACTTCATTTCCAATAGTTACTGCATATTGGAAATGAATTCTTCTTTTGCCTTCTCATGATAGGGAAATGGGTCCCGATTAACTTGCTTATCGGTAATCTTGAGTTCACCTCTCTTCATCTTCCTTTGATATATGTCTTTCAAAGTCCAACATTCAATGAGTGGATGTTTGGGCGACATGTGAAGGTGGCAGTAGATTGGGTCTTGGTGTATCTTCTTTGAAGGCATTGGGCCAGCTATTGGGGGATAATGTCACCACCTTATTTTCCATCCATGTATTAAGCACTGCGATTCCTTCCTCTTTTACAAGGAATTGGTGGGGGGAAGGTCTTTGCCTTTTATTCTGAGTGTCAGTTGCGGCAACCTCATCCTTTTCCTCCCCTTTGTGAGATATGTTGCTCATCAACAGAGGACGCAACCAAAGATCGATTTGGATGCTTTGCTTCATATCATGGTTGTTAGAATTCAGATCCGGATCGCATGACAATCACTTGGAAGAATGATAACAGTAGGATCAATAGGATTGGAATTCGGAAGAATCGTGTTTTTTGTTCTTATATTGGATTTATTGGGTCTACAACCTATTATTGGCAAAATAAAGCCCAACACTTTAGCGTAATTGCATTTAATATAAAAAGTAAAAAGTAAACAGAGAGAACAAAAAGCAGAGACCCAACTTCAAAGGTAGACAAGATTCAGCTGTGAACTTCAAAGGCATGACTTTAATTGTTATCCTTGTTCTTCTATGTATGTTTCAGGTCCAGTGGCCGAGGACATGTTTCACTGGCAAGCAACAATTATGGGTCCTCCAGACAGTCCTTATGCTGGTGGAGTTTTCTTAGTTACCATCCATTTTCCTCCAGATTATCCATTCAAGCCACCTAAGGTGTTTTAAACACACTGATTCTTTATTGTAAAGTTCCTCATGTACTGTAATTGTCTGCATGCTTCATGACCATCCTTTTTCCCATTCCCATTTTGAGTTGTTTGCGACTTGGGATGTTTGACAGCCTATGTTGTTTAATTTGAAATGTGCACTGTTTTTGGACTAAATTTGTTTCTAATGGCTCTAATACCTAGTCTGTTGGTCTAAAAATTTGTTTATAACGTGCACTGTTTTCAAGAACCATTCATTGGCTTACTTATTTGATAGTCCTTTATGTCTCATTCGCTTGCCGTGTTTAAGTTATAATGCAAAATGTTAGCCTGACATATTTATTGCTTAGAAAGAATGATGTAAAAAAGAGGAATAAAAGGTGAACAATTCAAACTCTTTTAGATGGTAGAATGACGGACTATGATTTTTCCATTTTCTTGCTAAACCTAAAAATGAGTGGACTAAATATGGCAACTGGAGCTAACCCAAAATTTAGATTGCTACCTATAAGCAATATTTGCTTTTTGAACTTGCATGTAAATCATTTGAAACTTGCATTTATGATGGATAGATTCAGTTTGTAGTACAGTCCATGTATTTATGGTCAATAGATTCGGTTTTAGTATAGTCAATGTTCTTGTAGGCATATCACTTACATTCACTGCTTTGTCATACCACATTTCTTTCCACTGAAAGAAAGGGATACAAGATTGGATGAAATTGCAAAACATTTGTAATATTCTTCTTTCATATGTCGGAATTGTTTGGTGGTGCATTTGGAAGGAGAGGAATAGTAGAATGTTCGAAGGGAAAGAATTGCCCACGGCGATTCTGAAACTTCACATCATACGCTTTCGTTTCAGTTATGTGAAGAGGAAGTCCTGTTCTTTTTCCGAAGATTTAATTATTTTTTTGGCTTCTTTGGGATCTTAATCCCTAGCTCCACTTTTGTATAAAGGATGTGTTCCCCTCTTGAACGCCTATTTTATTTCAATTATTGTCGTAATTGTTTGAAGAGTTTGTCTTTATTCTTTATGTTGTTGTATCATTTGTTTATCTATTTGAATTTCTTTTGTGATTGATAAAAGATTTATGTAATCTTATTTTGTTTCTTTATAGAGGGGCTGAGGAATCTCATTCCCTTTGGTTCTTATTCCTGCCATCATGATTTTTAGAACTGATAGATTTGGAACGAATTTGGTCTGAAAGAGGTTCTTGCAGTACGGAATGTTCTAGCCCAAGGAGTAGAAGATCTTGAGGAATAGAGAATTGTTATTTGGGTTAACAATCTAAAGATTTCCTAGATGGAGCAAATCTTATTTCTACATTTCCACCATTAGTTTCTATAATATTTTCCAGTTGGGATCGGAGAGAGGGTTGAGGATGTGCTTTATTTTCTAAAACCTAAGCTTCAGGTGGTGTACTTTCACCCCATTTAAGTCGCATTATTGCCTTGTTAGGCCATTAGTGCATTTGTTTCCTTAAATTCAGCAACCTTGATGTCGGAAGAAGTTGGATGAAAATTTCTTATAACTTTCTCAAATTGAGGGGTAGAAATATGAGCATATTTGAACTTTGGCTACCATTTTGAGGCATATTGGTGATAGAGGCAAGGAGTTCCATGCTTAACATTTGTAATAAGCCATTAACATATTGCCAAGCAATGATTGAAGATGTGGCAAATTTTGTCATTAAATACATAGATGGAATTGTTACTCTGACTGAGATTGTTCAAGATCATCATAACATGAAGAGTGCATTAAGAATATCTTCTGAAATAATTTCAATGTCCAGACCAAATGGAGCCAATTAATCCATGAACCAAGTTGGGAGTTCCTAATCAAATTCTTTGGCGAAATAAATAAACCAAGGATATTTGAATTTTTTGATTTTAATAATAAAATACATACTTCCAAGCATCTTAATAATCAAATTAATTGAATTCTTGAGGGGGAAGATTTGACCAGAATTCTTCTGGTATGAGACGGGTCTAGGTCCCATTCTTTACCAGAGAGTTTTAGGGATATATCACGGTGGCCTTTAGGAAGAGGAAGTGCTACAAGATTTGAATATAAAGAGAATTCGGATTCCCGCTCCAAGTTCCATTTGTATAAAATTTTGAATTTTCAGCCATATTTGCAAAGGACTCAGTTAAAATTGACCAGTTAATAGAAATTAAAATTGCTGTCTTCTGTAGAAATCTGATCTGATTTACCCTATTTCATTGGTTTTGTATTTCTTTTTCTTTAATCTTTGAGGTTCAAACTTGAGATGCTCTGTCTCTCTCTGTCTCACATTCTGGTGGATAATCTTGCAGGTGGCATTTAGGACGAAGGTTTTCCACCCAAATATAAACAGCAATGGAAGCATATGCCTTGACATTTTGAAGGAACAATGGAGCCCTGCGCTAACCATTTCCAAGGTTAGTATTTTGTACCCTAGAGCTCGAGCTTTGAAATTAGAACAAGCCATGATTAAAGTGACTGCATAACGGCATTGAGTTTAAGGTGGTGATTTTTATAATATGAACTGGTAAGCTCCGTTGAACACATTATTGATCATGTTTTTCATCTAGAGGTCAATCAAGAAAATTATTGTTTGTGACAGGGAGCCTGATATATGGGCCTCTGAACCCATTTTCATTTTTCTTCTTTAGTTGTCATTGTCAGTTAGTAAGGTTTGATATGTTTAGAAGGGTTTCATGATCATCTTGAATCGAATAAAAATGGTTCTATACATTTTAGGTATTACTCTCTATCTGTTCTTTGTTGACGGACCCGAATCCAGATGATCCCCTGGTGCCAGAGATTGCTCATATGTACAAGACTGACAAGAACAAGTATGAGACAACTGCAAGGAGCTGGACCCAGAAGTATGCCATGGGTTAGGCATTCTATATTATGTACTCGGGCGGAGCCTCTCTTCCTAATACTTGGTCTTTCGGTTCTATGTATGAATGAAATTAAGACTTGCCTCTTGAATCCTAAAATGGACAAATGGAGGGGTTTGAAACATGCCTTAAAAGGAGGGAAACAAGCAAATGTTGCTTTTAATTGTTTGTATGGCTTATTTGATCTTCATAACTTAAAATGTTTCCCAAATTTGGTAATTACCATGTTTTTCCCAGACATTATTTCCAGTTTACTAGAATCTTAAGTTATCGTTTCTGATAAGCTTGGATGAGGCTTTCATACTTTAAGGTGCATTGCTGTTACTATATAGAGAGAATGCTGGAGGGTTATCCCGGGTTTGCTAAATTTGAAAATTTGACGTACTCTAGGCTTGCAGAGATGAATTGCCTGAGTTTAAGGGAGAAGAATATGTTTAAGTACTTAGAAAAGTGGGAGACCCGAGCTGGAAAATGAGTTCTTGAGGTTAGAAATTTTTGTGTGGAATGAGCTGAAAATTGTGACTTTAGGTACTAGTCGTGTTGCCATCTTCATCTCTTCACAGGACCTTATAATACTTTTATGTGATTTCATGCACACTGACACACTGAAAAGCTTTGAACCTCAGCTTACACCCATGTTCCTCCTCCAAAAATCTAGTCTCTTGAGTTTTGAGTTCTTTGGTTTCTTTATGCACACTAGTGAGCTGCAAGAACAGTTGTAATTCTGGAATGAGATATTACTTTTCACAAAGTGTTCCACTTGTGATGTATTTGCCGTGGGACTTCCAAGTGTCAAAACTGCTGAGCTGCCTTTATTATGGGGAAACCTGGAAAGTAACTTGTTCTTGCGCACTTTTAGAATTACGTTTCCCATAACTCCTGCCCTAATTTTTGTACTTCCTTCGTCGAACTGAATTGCTCTACATTTCCGGCACTAACTTGCCGTTCAAAATACAAAACAAATTGGATCAGCTCGACTTGGCAAATGTAAAGATTTATACCAACTTGCCATTCAAAGAGTTGAAACACAAATTGGATCGGATTGACACAGCAAATGGAAAGATTTGTCCAAGTTATATGTTTCCTTACCACTTTGTGAAAAATCATTAGATAACGATTATTATTAGAACTCTGTGAGAAGAGTAAAGCTATTAATGAATGAGAAATATTTGACCTCATTTTTGCTTACAAGGCTTGATTTCTACTCGCTTTTCTACCATAAATCTGAGTAGTTAGATCACAAGTATAATCAGTGCTCAGCAGTTTGTTTACATACATAATCAGTGCTCTCTGTTTCTACCATAAACAAGAGCAGTTTATACCCATACATAATCAGTGGCATATAACAAACACAAATCAGAGCAGTTTGTTTAGATAGATAGAGGTGCTAGATTACAAGGCTTGATTTCTACTCTCTTTTCTACTATAAATCTGTGTAGTTAGATCACAAATATAATCAGTGCTCAGCAGTTTGTTCACATACATAATCAGTGGTCTCTGTTTCTACCATAAACAAGAGCGGTTTATACCCATATAATCAGTGGCATATATCAAAAACAAATCAGAGCAGTTTGTTAAGATAGATAGAGGCATTAGATTTCACAAAGCATTCCAACTTGCAAAGTCTTTCCCGGTGTAACTCCTAGTGTCGAAACTGCTGAAGTGCAGTTCTTCTGAAGGAACCTGTACAAGCAATCTATCGTGAAGCGGGCAAACCAACTGTTGTTCTTGTTTGCTTTGAGAAGAGTCCTTCCCATGACGAATATGACTCCCTTCTCCATGGCTGCATCTAGTGTTTGTCCTACCTCTGCGGACTCGACATTCTCACAAAGTTTTGCCACCATGGGAGCAACATAATCATTTGTATCCTTGTTCTTACAGATGAAACTCGACATTCTCACAAAGTTTTGCCACCATGGGAGCAACATAATCATTTGTATCCTTGTTCTTACAGATGTTTGGTTCAATTTGGATACAAGGATTCGCCAAGCACGGAGAAAAATGATTATGTTGCTCCCATGGTGGCAAAACTTTGTGAGAATGTCGAGTCCGCAGAGGTTACCTGAATTGCTGTCTTGGTGAAGTGGCCTAGATCAGCAAACATGGCTTCAGCCCCTGTACCATAATATAAGAAGTTACGAAATTATAATGGATCCCTCCTTTTAAATGACAAAAACAATGAGAACATTTTACTTTTTTATTTGTAAAAAAAAAAATACCTGTTATCCACAAGGACACTGCCCCGAGGACTTCCCATCCATTCTTGCCATTTCTTTGACAGAATATGATTATATAATGAGGTGACAAAGCCTTCAAAATGGTTGGTTCATAGCGAACGATATTGTAAATGCCAATTGCAGCATTTGATGAGAACCACACTATCATGTTTGGAGAGAAGAAGAAGCCGACTTTACTGGTGCCACATTGTTGGAAAATGAAGGGGACTATGAGAAGCACAACCGCCAGGACAATAACATGTTCTGAGACAAAACATAAATTGTACTAGGTTTAGTAAAAAGAGATACTACAGTTTTTTTGTACTTTTGGAGGGTTAGTACATAGCTCACTTTGTGTTATCTTTGAGGAAATAGAGTCAATCCCTTGAAGGGCTGAGAGAACTGCAACACATAATAATTGTATTAAGAATAACGCAATAATGCTTTGTGACTATGCTAGTATGCTTCGAAGAAAGAAAACACCAAAACAGAAGAAAATTGGAGTTCAACATAGCCAAATCTGATAGATATACAATAACTAGTATGCAAAATTACCGCTAGTGGCAGGAGTCAGAGCGCCGTCGCCAATTAGCATGCAAGTTCCCAGCATCACCACAAAAGTTAAGAGGGACTGAGCAACTGAATTCTCTCAAGGAACTTCGTAGTCCTAGATTTTATAGCACTTCTTGGGGGTACAGTCTCATACTGGGGGTAAATTTGCTCCGGAAATTAATATGACGACACAGGTATGAATACAGAGCAAATGTACCACCGTCTCCGTGATCATCAGCTCGAAGAACCAGAACACATTTTTAATCAACGCAATTGAAGTTAGAGTCCAGAAGATCAGACTAAATATTCCGAGCACATCGTCTTCACCGGTGTTTGAGAGGCAAATAGAGGAGAAGACGAAAAGGGGAGATGTTCCAAGGTCTCCATATACAACTCCTAGTGATTGGAATGCCAGTATTACTGTTTCCACTCCATGATAGTCCTGGAAAATGAATAAACTTATTTTATTATTAGTATGGAAAAGAAATATAATGAAATACAATCTTATCTCCATTGATTATACTAGCAACAAGCAAGTGTTGAAATACAAAAACCAAAATCCAAGTGTTGTTCAGTCTAATTTATGGCTATTGTGAAAAACTGAGTAACAACACTTGGTTTTTGTTTATAACTATTTGCTTATATATATACACAAGTGCAAGCGAAAATGCTGGTTCCATGTCTCATGAACTGCCCAGGTTACTGAGTTTTTCCCAGTAGCCATAAATTAGACTGAACAACACTAAGTTTTTGTTTATAACTATTTGCTTATATATATACACAAGTGCATGAAAATAGCTTTGATCGTAGTAATACAAGCATAGAAGACGCCCAAGAGATTGTTAATCAAATCGAAGAACACCTTGAAAGTGGTGGCATTGGAAGCGAAAATGCTGGTTCCATGTCTCATGAACTGCCCAATGCCACCACTTTCAAGATGTTCTTCAATCTGGTTAACAATCTCTTGGGCGTCTTCTATGCTTTTATTAGTGCAATCAAAGCGATTCTCATGCACTTGTGTATATATATAAGCAAAGTTATAAACAAAAACCAAGTGTTGTTCAGTATAATTTATGGCTATTGGAAAAAACTGTGTAACCTGAGTAGTTCATGAGACATGGAACCAGCATTTTCGCTTCCAATGCCACCACTTTCAAGATGTTCTTCGATCTGATTAACAATCTCTTGGGCGTCTTCTATGCTTGTATTACTGCAATCAAAGCTATTCTCATGCACTTGTGTATATAACATAAATAAATAGTTATAAACAAAAACCAAGTGTTGTTAAGTCTAATTTATGGCTATTGGGAAAAACTGAGTAACCCGGGTAGTTCATGAGACATGAAACCAACATTTTCGCTTCCAATGCCACCACTTTCAAGATGTTCTTTGATCTGATTAACAATCTCTTGGGCGTCTTCTATGCTTGTATTACTGTAATCAAGTCTATTCTCATGCACTTGTGTATATATATAAGCAAATAGTTATAAACAAAAACCAAGTATTGTTCCGTCTAATTTATGGCTATTGGGAAAAACTGGGTAACTTGGGTAGTTCATGAGACATGGAACCAGCATTTTCGTTTATACACAGGATAGCACATATCAAAATAATATTTCATAAGCAACACGAGCAATAGAAAAAAATACATGGAACACAAAACACATACCAATTAACAAGATAAGAATTAAATGTAAAATAAAAAATAATTCTAAAATTTAATATGAATTTCTTATATAATATTAATGGTTTTTCATGTTTTAGGGTTGTGACTAATTTTGTTTTCAAAATTTAAAGCTTTCAAAACAAACTAAGTTCAAGGTTACTAAATCAATAACAAAAATATTATTACTTCAGTCTCGTTTGACAACCTTTTATGTTTACTATTTATCCTTTAAATTTAAAAATAATGAATTTAAACATAACGAGTGTTTATATGTAATTTTTATTTATCGATAAATAGATACATTGTTTAATAATATAAAAATATTTGTCTTATTTTAAAATAATAAATAAAAAAACATGTTTGTTAACCTCATAATATTTTTTAAAAATCAACGCAACAAATTCAATTGGTTCCAAATTTGATATTTTTTTCACTACCATCCATTGAATGCCCAGAACCACATGTTCAAAGCCTTACTAAGTATAGTAATATTTTGTTAAGTGATATGCTTCCCAAATTCTCAGTAATTTTATAAACAACCAAAGCAAAGCCAAAATAAAATGGTGCCATTTATACAAAGTCATGAAAGCCTAAAACCCACCAAATGAAAAAGAACCCAAAAATAAAATAAAAAAATATATACATATTCATACATTTCTGTTGCCTTAAACTACAAAGAAACTGAATAGCATTATAACAGTAACAAAATAGAATTCCTTATCAGATTCGCAACATGCATTACAAGTCGTCTGCAAAACCCAAGTCCTACCAAGTCCATCAATAGATCCTTCTCAGTCCAACGGAGTAAAATAGGAAATACAGAGTAACCATGTCATAAAATTGAAAACAGAGGAAGCATGGTAAAGAAGAATGAAAAAATATAGATGTCGAAAGAGAGTGAGAGAACAAACCTGAAGTAGAGGAGATTGGCGAGGAGAACGGCGGAGGAGGACGGGAGAAAATTGCAAACTGGGTTTGTCCGGTGCTTGCTTGTTTGGGAACAAAAAAATCTGCTCCTTAATTGTCACACCTTCAAAGATCATACTAATAAACATTGGAATAGCACAAAAAGCAAGAAAAGAAATTTTGGATATATAATAGAAGTTGGATTACATATATAACATTGCATCAAGTATATAACTATATATATACCAAGTCTCAAGAGATTAGAAGAGAGAATAAGACAAAAATCAAGGAGGGGGTGACAAATTCACACCCATTTTCGAAATGAAAAAGAAGGCAACACTAGAAAAATAACCTTTCAAAAAAAAAAAAAATCAAAAATCATGTAGAAGACCCATATAAAAAGAACTGTCTATATACATACACAAATTCAGACCCATTTCGAAATCAAAAAGAGGATGGCAACACTAAGCAGGAACCATATGTCACAAACACACACATATAGGTGGAGTTATAATTGCAGAGAGAGAGAGAGAGAAAATGTGAGAAAGAACAGAGTGTGTATTTTGGTCTTTTTTCTTGTAAAGCTTATGGGCCTGGCATTACTCTAGCTTCTAGCTCCCGAACAGTTGAAGAAGGATCAAGCAACACCTTTGTACGACGACGATATCGCGAAGCTACTACCGCAAAAGGAGTCCACTTTAGATTATAATAAGAGAGAAAAGAAAGGTTAGCTGACAACGTACACTTACGTACTTGGAACACTGGATGAGAAGGAGAAGGAAAGCGAAACAAGCCTAGGAGAAGCAAAATAGACGAAGAGTTGTTGGAAAGGAGAGAAGTGGTTTGCTTGTTGAATTTGAAGAACTACTTCCATCACTTTTTCAAAGCGGTAGACCAACATCAGGCAGAATACAAAAAAAACTGTATATACATACACAATATATATTCGTTATATATATATGCGAAAGGGAGATAACATACCGTGGCAGGGAGATAGTGCAGGAGTATCGCAGAGAGAGAGAGAGAATTAAGAACCCTTAGAAAAATGAGAGAGAAGGTTACCCCAGTACACTTAGATCACCAATCGAATCTCGATTCAACCTGTTATCCGTCCTATAAATACCGCGTCCTCTACTCTCTAGCGGATGTATTGGGCTCCTTCTTAACTCTTAGGTCTTTGTTAATAAGGGGCCCCTAGCCTTTTTGAGGTTCGAAGACCTCTGCTCCAAAAACTAACGGTATTTTTCATATGTGGACCATAGCGGATGTATTGGCTTCTTCTTAATTCTTAGGGTGTGTTTGGATAGACTAGGGAAAAAGAAATAAAGGATAGTATTAGTCATGAGATAAAAGAAAAGAAAAGAAAGAATAATAATAATTTTTATTAGTGTTTGGATTGATGGGGGAGAAAAGAAAATAAATGATGGTTATTCTTGTTTGGATAAGAAAAATGAGAGAAAAGAAAAGAAAGGATAGTAAACAAATTACTTTTTTACCCTTTCATAACTATGGGACTTGATTTGTGGAGATTAATTTTGGTATTATCAAAATATTACTTAAAATCGCTATGCTTTATTTTCCTATCTTCTCAAAATTGAAGAGAAAGCAAATAAGAGATAAGAAGGGATAGCTATCCCTCCCTATCTCTCTTTATCTCTCCACTTAACTTACCCAAATACAAGCTTACATTATCATTTCTTTTCTTTTCTCTTCCTATCCATCCAAATCAACCCTACCAAACACACCCTTAGGTTCTTTGGCTAACTACATATTCATTTTGTGGGTCGGGACCACTTTGGGGTTCGCTCACCGTGGCCAAGGGGTGGTTTTTTTTTTTTTTTTTTTGTGTAATATGTCTGAAATGTTATACATGGTCCCACTATTTTAATGTCATTTAATCAAAAACCAAATTGTCCATAACGGTATACGTTAGGGTTTCAGTCCCTTATTGCAGTATTTTGTTGTGAGACTACTCATTAACAAGTTTGTTTGCTATGATTTTCACAACGACAAGTCAAACCTAGAATATTGTTTGAGATTGAAATTTTTGTTTACTACGTTCACACCTACAAACAAACAACTTGTTCCATAGTTTCAAGTGAGTCACAAATAACTTGTTCCATAGTTTCAGGTGAGTCACAAACAATTTGTTCTATAGTTGTAGGTGACTCACGACAACTACCTAGTTCATGCAAATGAGAGAGAGAAATGAATGTTCGTTATTAGTGAAAAATAAGATTAGTCCATTTGGATTATACATTTAGTGGAGAAATTAGACGCTAAAAGTCACATGAAATAAAGTGGTACGAGACATATTTTTAAAAAATTAAATCAAGAATTAGGTTATGATAAAAAATAAAAATAAATAAATAAAAGAAAATGAGAATTTAATTGACTAACTATTTGGGATCATATAAGAGCGAGAATGAGAAAACAAATATGAATCTATTTAAAATGGATGAATTTGTTGCGATTCGTGATTAGAATGGAAGGGTATGAGAATAACAATGCGTTTGTATTAAACATATATACCTATCGCCATCAACCAAAATTTACACAGGTATGTGTGTGTGTCTATATATATATATATATATATATATATATATTGCACATGTATGACCTTACAGGCCTATGGTTTCATGACCAGATAGCCTGTGAAGAATTCTTTCCATTTAAATATATTAAATCGACAATTAAAAATAACATCTTAACCGTCCATCATCTAGAACTTTCTTCATCATATCACGAATTCAAACCTTCTCATTATATCACGAATTCAAACTTTATCTTTGGTTGTTGAACTTTATTGATGGTGGTTGAACTTGAACTTCATTTAAAGTAGTAATATCATAATCACTTTCTACATAGGTTGGTGTCAGAGAATTCAATTTTGTAATTTTAGATGTCACTGTAATATAATTTTGGTATATAGATTAGTGTCGGAGAATTCAATTTTGGATGTCACTATAATATAATTTTGGTATATAAGTTGGTGCGAGAGAATTCAATTTTAGGTGACACTAACATAATTTTGGTATAAGGTTGGTGTCAGAGAATTCAATTTTGGATGTCACTATAATATAATTTTGTTATATAGGTTGGTGCGAGAGAATTCAATTTTAGGTGACACTACCATAATTTTGGTATATAAGTTGGTGTCAGAGAATTCAATTTTAGGTAACATATCTTTAAAAAATTAAATCAAGAATTAGCTTATGATAAAAATAAAAAAAAAAATTAGAAAATGACAATTTAATTGACCAACTCTTTGGGATCAGATATGAGCAAGAATAAGACAGCATATCTGAATCTGCTTAAAATGGATGAATTTGTTGTGATTCGTGATTAGAATGGAAGGGTATGAGAATAACTATGCGTTTGGACTAGACATATATACCTATTGCCATCAACCAAAATTTACACGTGTGTTTGTGTATATGTATATATTTATTGCACATGTATGACGTTACAGGCCTATGGTTTCATGACCAGATAGCCTGTGAAGAATTCTTTCCATTTAAATATAATAAATCGACAATTAAAAATAACCTCTAAACCGTCCATCATCTAGAAGACTTGAACTTTCTTTATCATTTCAAGAATTCAAACTTTCTCATCATATCACGAATTTAAACTTTATCTTTCGTTGTTGAACTTCATTGATGGTTGTTGAACTCAAATTTCATTTAGGGTGGTAATGTCACAATCACTTTCTACATAGGTTATAGGTTGGTGTCAGATAATTTAATTTTGTAATTTTAGATTTCACTCTAATATAATTTTGGTATATAGGTTGGTGCCAGAAAATTTAATCTTGAATGTCACTATAGTATAAGTTTGGTATATAGGTTGGTGGTTGTTGAACTTCTTTGATGGTTGTTGAACTTGAACTTCATTTATGGTGGTAATGTCACAATCACTTTCTATATAGGTTATAGGTTAGTGTCAAAGAATTCAATTTTGGATGTCACTGTAATATAATTTTGGTATATAGGTTGGTGGTCGTTAAACTTCATTGATGGTTGTTGAACTTGAACTTTACTTATGGTGGTAATGTCACAATCACTTTCTATATAGGTTATAAATTGGTGTCAGATAATTCAATTTTGTAATTTTAGATGTCACTCTAATATAATTTTGGTATATAGGTTGGTGCCAGAAAATTTAATTTTGGATGTCACTGTAATATAATTTTGGTATATAGGTTGGTGCGAGAGAATTTAATTTTAGGAAATACTAACATAATTTTGGTATATAAATTGGTGTCAGGGAATTCAATTTTAGGTGACACTGTAACATAATTTGGACACCAAAAAATAAATGCTAGATTAGCATGTATTACAAGTTAAGTTGACAAACATGGTTCAATGCATCGTTTGCTATTATTAATTTTACAGACTCAAATTATTTTATTATGGAGATTATAAAAATGAATACCATATTGTTGGGATTAAGGATTAGCAATCAATTAACAAAAATTCTACAGTACGACGTTGAATATGGGATGACATGATGTCATTCCTACCCATCATCTTAGTTTAACTCTTAAAGACTACAGTATTATTTTATATTAATAAATTACCGGTTGATAGAGTTTGAATAAATTAGTCACAACTCTACTACAAGTTATATACATAGTGGCATGATGAAATTTTTATTGACATGAGATGCAACCTCAATTTTGAAGGTAATTATTTTGGACAAATCAGAATGTTTGCACCAACTTATGTTCATATAATGAACGATCAATGTACTCCTTATAGCTTTATGTCTAAAGTCCACTCAAGTACATAGTTCATTACTGTGTGAACTATATTATATGTCCCAATACATTTGCTTATAATATCGAGTTGTTCTCGGCGGCTCGAGCGTTAGGCAAGTTAGGCGGCCGCCTAAGGCCCAGCTAATAAAAAGACTCCAAAATACTATAATTGCCTTGTATATGATATGTTGTAGTAATTATTTCCTTATTGAATACTAATTCTAAAAAAATTATCTCCTAAAATAATTCTTCTCTTTTTTTGTTTTCTCTCTCTCTCTCTCTATTCACGCCTTTTCATTAAACTTTAACGAAGAAAGAAATTATTTATCTCCTAAAATATCTCATTTTTTTTTTTTATCTCCTAAAATATCTCATGAATATTTTTTTATTGCTTTTTTTTTTAATTATTTTTTAGTTTTACTAACTTTTGTTATTATAAATTTGTATATATCTATATCTTTCATATATTTGTATATTTGTTTGTAAGTTGTGAGTCTTGTGACTATTTTTATCCATATTTTTTAATATGTATGCTAGAAAGTATGAATCCATATTTGAAAATTTTTAAAAAAAAAGAAAGAAAAAGAAAATAGATAAACCAATTCAATTTCAAAAGGGAGTTATTGATAAATTTGTTACAATTAATAATCAAAACCTAACAAAAAAATTTAGATGAAAGTTCAGCAAATGAACAATCAAATCATCTAAAAGAATTAAAAGATTATACAATAGTGAAAAAAAATTAGAAGATTATACACTAGTGAAAGAAAAAAATACCAGTGACTTATTCACAATAAAATCATATCTACGATTAACTATATCACAAGAAAAATTAAATGGATTGCTTTATTGTTAAAAAAAGATTTTTTAATCACATACAAAAATTTAATTAGTAAGTTTGCATCTCAAAAAGCCAAAAAAAAATAATAATAATTAATTAATTATTATTTAATAATTAATATATTACATATTATGATATGAAAATGGCCACTTTTTATTTTTCGCCTAAGGCCCCGAGTTATATCGAGCCGCTCCTGGCTGTTCCATCATCCATGTCTGCTCAATCTCCTGCACTAAATCTGAATCTCATGTAATTTTGTGTCTCATTTCTTGCCTAAGGCCCCGAGTTATATCGAGCCGCTCCTGGCTGTTCCATCATCCATGTCTGCTCAATCTCTTGCGCTAAATCTGAATCTCATATAATTTTGTGTCTCGTATCAAAAAAAATATTGAATATGAATATTATGTTGTGCGATTAGTGTTGTAGTAAAAGAATACCTGTAGTTCTTTTTATTTTGTACCGAAAGCCCCGTACAGAAGATAGGCTGGTTCGCTTAATATTTGGTACCGATAAAGAAGTCTTAGTGATGCTCTTAAAATGATTGGAACCTTCTATCCAGTATTAACAATACTGTCAACGATAGAATATTATAATTAGATCCCAATTCATAACCAGTAAAAAATTTCAAAACTTAGTATCGAGTTTACTCCTTTCCAGCTATTGGTACATTCAGAAGTGTACTTTGTGCAAATGCTAGTGAAATGACCATTTTATCCTTTAATTTTTATTTTTTTACCTCTAAATTCACAAGTTGACTAAATTTATGTGAGTGAGGAAAATCAATCATCTTAATATAGTTGATTTCAAGACTAAATTGATTTCATAATATAATTCATTGTCAAATCAAGAGCATAAGTCACAAATTTGAACACAGCCAAAATAGTAAAACATGCTAAAGAATGTACTTAAACAGTGTATTTGAATTGATACATATATACACACACACACATAGAAACAAACAAAAGATGTTCCACCCAGAAATGATTAGCAAGACACAGAAAGAGAACGGCTGACAAGTGAAAAGAGTGGATGAGAAATTCATATCAGGGACTCAGTTCATCCCTGAAGGTGTCATGTCAAGCTAAAGGGGCAGACGTTAGTCCTAGACATGAAGTCCCAAACAGCAGAACAACAATTCTATGTAATAAGTACCCAAAACTGTCTAATCTACAATAAATTGAAGACACACATAGTTAGATCAATCACAAGCAGGGAAATATATAGATGAATATGAGGAAGAAGAGAAAATGAGATTCTCATGAGTTAATCACCACGAACAAAACTATATATAAACATATACTATAAAACACATAGATATATAAAGAGAAGTGTGATCTATATATAGAGAGAGAGGAGGAAAGATGAAAGTAAGGTTATATACAGAGGGGGCTGGTTTTTTAGGGTTTAGCTGCGTCAGATCGACGGCTGCGATTTCATTATTTTATTTTCTCTAGGCTTAGAAATATTGGAATATGATTATTGTTCCAGGGTTGGGACAATTTCTGGCCTGGGCCTAAAATATTGGAATAGGACAATCTAATCTATATTATACTTTATGTAATTAGTGTCTACCACAAATTTTACAAAATGCTTACATTCCCCTCAATTATTTTAGGGTAAATTATTGTCCAAGAGGTGACTTTGCCTTTAGTGACCCTTGGTTCTTCATAAGGACCATTTCGACCTTCGCTTTCGCATTCGATTTTTCATTAGGACCTTTTGTTTTTGGATATCATTGCAGTACTTTGCCTGAGTCTTGTCGACTTTAGTTGTATTTCTATTGTATCCTTAGGGATATTTTACATCCCTATTGGCGCCTTCTCTTGTTTCACTTTCGCATTTCGGACCTGATATTGGGTCAAGGTTTTAGTCTTCTCGATCACCTTCAGTTGATGCACTGGATCACGGGATTTGGGGGGTCACATGTATGTTTTGCCCTTGTATCATAATGGATGTATATTGCACTTGTTTACACTTTTGACTTTATTGCTTGGAGGTATTTGTGCTCTGACGCTCTAAATCCCATGATTCGGTGTATTAACCAAGAAGACTAAAACCCGACCCGATATCGAGTTTGAAATGTGAAGCAAAATGAAGGAAGAGATCCCTAAGGGTTAAAACCACCTCTATGACAACAATAGAATCCTATAAGAAATCACCAGACTCAACTCAAAAACAATTTCGGAAGGTAAGGTTGAAAACGAATAAAATATGGAACTAAGGTTAAAATAATCATTTCATGTCTAAAATGAAAGATTTGGTGTGTACCATTGGATAGCCAATTCAAAAACAATAAAAGTAGTCAAATCCTTTGTGCAAATTTAGTCAACTTTTGGACTCAAATCCTTGAAAAGGTCAAGAGATAAAATTTGGGCCTTTCCGGTGGAAACAAAAGGGTTGAAATCATAGAGCTTGCTTTCATGCTGTACTTTAGGTTAGAGATATTAATTTCCTTCAAATAAATGATGATAATATTATTATCTTTGGATAAATTACATTCAACTCTTATAATTTCATAGATCTTTCCTATTACATTGGATGAAATTTAGCAAAATTTATTTTTAAAATTTAAATATAAAAGATTTCATAATAATTACATGGATCTTTTCTATTACATTGGATGCAATTTAGGTTCTATTTGTTTAGACGTAAAATATTTATATATATATATATATATATATATATATATATATATTATTTTCTAGTATTTGGTTGTCGTAAAATATTTATTAAGAAAAAAAATATTAAAATTTAACCAAAATAACTTATTCATCAATTTTTGACAAATTATTTTACATGTCCGGCCAGATGGACTCAACCTCCACATAAACCTTTACCAAACACCGACAAAATAAAAACAAAATAATATTTTACCTTGAAAAGAAAAATATTTTCTAAAAACAATATTTTGCGTCGAGATAAATGGAGAAGCAAAAGTCATTTTTAAAATTTAAATATAAAAAGTAAAATTTACGTGAGATTTCATAAAGGCACGCAAGTCCGATGACGATGATGTCCTCTCAAAGCTGAGATGGATCGATGTTCTAGTGTGGCTGATTCTGCTAGTAATAACTGCAATAGGGGTTGGTACTGCTGCTAACTAGGAAGACTAAAAGCCCAGCCCATATAATAGTTGGAAACCAGACCCATTAGTATGGGCCAGCTTTTCAATAACATATGGTCCATCATCACTCATAAAACGACTCAGCAGTGAGCCAATGAACAATTTTATGACTGTTTGCCTTTGTAATATGGAGTCTTAATTTCTTAATTTCATAAATCATCCTAATCATTTACTAGCACTTTTCACTCCTCATTTGAATCCGATTTCTTTTGGGATGGAGAAGGAGGAAAAGTAATGCGAATCTTCAAAATGAGGTGAAGGGGTAGAATGTTCAGTAAAAAAAAAATTTGAGAAGAATGTACGAAGGGCCGAAGCCCCCAAAACAAAGCCCATACCAGAAAAGGCATAGCCCCAAAACCATGGCCTAAGCCTTAGAAGCCCAAACACAAGAACAAGTGCAAGTAGGACCAACACATTTGTAGTCTAGAAGCCCTAGACTACTGATGACTACGCCAACTTCAGTTCCGGTGAATGAGAATGGAATGTTGGTGTCTTCCGTGTGCGCATTTTAATTAAGGGAGAGAAATGTCATACATGCTCCTATTATTTTAATGTCATTTAATCAAAAAATATATATATACCTGTTACGCAAGAACACTGCTCCGAGGAGGTCCCATCCGTCTAGCCATTTCTTTGAAAGAATTTGATTACATAATGAGGTGACAAGGCCTTGAAAATGATTGGTTCATACCCAATGATATTATAGATGCAAATTGCAGCATTTGAGAAGAACCATATTTTCATGATTGGTGTTAACACCTAAAATATAATTCGAAACGATTATGTCACGTGGTCAGAAATCATGAGGTCTGAACTTTGGGTCAACCCATGATCATCAGGACGAAAGATTAATTTTTAATCATGGTGATCAGATTTAAGGTCGGGAATTAAGAAGAATAGAACTCTTAGGCCATTAAGACTGAGATGAGATTTTGAGCTCATAACTAGCCATGATTAAGACTCTCAGAGTCACTATGGTTATGATACAAAGTCTCATAACCGGCCATGATTAAGACTCTCAGAGTTACTATGGCCATGATCCAAAGTCTCATAACCGGCCGTGATTAAGACTCTCAGAGTCACTTTGGTCATGAGACTCGCAGTCACAATGGTCATAATCCAAAGTCTCATAACCAATCGTGGTCAAGAGACTCTCAGTCACAATGATCAAGACTCTCTTAGTCATAATGATCATGAGACTCTCAGTCATAATGGTCATGAAATTCTCAGTCGCTATGATCATGAGATTCTCAGTCACTATGACCATGAGACTCTCAGTCATAATGGTCATGAGATTCTCAGTCACTATGATCATGAGATTCTCAGTCACAATGATCAAGACTCATAGTTGGCTATGAGTCTTGGTCATGATCATAGTGACTGAGAATCTCATAACCATTATGACTGAGAGTCTCATGACCATTATGACTGAGAGTCTCATAATGGTCAGGGGTCTCGGGCATTTATCTCTCAATCATTATGACCTAAGAAAGTTTCTCGATCAACCAGGGTCGAGAATCTCTATCAATGATCGAAAGTACGCCCAATGGATGAACAAGCTCAGATTAAGATGGATCCAATATCTCTTCAGGTCATAATCACTTGAAGAATCTTTGATATGATTCAAATGAAGACCGGCTGTGGATCCTAAAATTTTAAGAACCCAACAAGTCAGGTCTGGAAATGTAAAGAAAGCTTGAAATAGAAAAAGGACAACTTGACAATGGTTCAGAACTACAGATGGAAGGTTCTCACCTACATTTGATAAGAAAGGTTAGAATTGTCAGTAATCAAATGATTCCAAGCCAATGTACAGATCAAGGCAGACATGACAGGTGCAGAGAGCTGAAAATAGAAAAGGATAACTTGACCATGTCAGAGGTCCAGAGATTCAGAACTACAGATGGAAGGTTCTCACTTACATATGATGAAGAAAGTCAGAATTGTCAGTAAGTAAACGATTCCAAGCCAATATACAGATCAAGCCAAGTATGACAGGTGCATAGAGCTGAAAATGGCTTGAAGACCAAAATCATCAAGCATGAAAGAATATGCAACATTTAGTCAAGAATACTATGCCAGACACATTTGTATTTGCCCATAGAGAGATGTGTAAGTCAGTCAACCTAACCAGTTCAACAAGATGGTTAGGAGAAGTCATTTTCAGCTTTTAACCAATTAATTTTTAGAGAAATGGTTTGAAAGGGACAACACCAGGTGGAAGCTTCTATAAATACCCACTCAAGCATCACAAGGAAGGGGTCCAAGACCATTTCTAAAGTTCAAACCTTTAGCATTCACATCACTTAGCACTTAGCTTTTATTTTATCAAGTTTAGTTTATTACTATTAGTTTAGTACTTAGTTCATCTTTCAGCATTCAATACTTTAGTTTCCATTTCAATCAAGAGTTTGTAATTTATTCATTATTGTAATCAGTCAAGTTCAATGAAGAAAGGTTTGCAGATTCAGGTATATTTATTATTCAATTAATTTGCTTCTAATTGATATCTATCTTGAATGTTTAAAGTCCTTTCTTACTCTTAAGGCAGTAGCAACCTTAAGGAGAGGGTCATTCCTACTCTTCAACTTTTGCTTGAATCACATTAGGTCGGCAACCCAACCCGATAGGAATAGTTTGGCAAGAAATATTCAAGTCCATCAAGACTCTGGCATGCCCGCATTTCAGGTCAACTATTAATTGGCTAGCGACCTCAGACCACTTTGTGAGCCAAACAACTTTGGCAATCACGGTGAGATAAGTGTTTTATTCGTGAATGGTCATCGAGACTAGGTGACAGACTCAAACTTCAGCTGGACAAGCTAACCCTCAAAGGGAAGGTCAGGAAGAAAATCAGCCTGCCCCCATTATACAAGATGTCGGGTTTGAACATGAAGAGGGACATCAGGCCAGCCACCATGTGGCGGCCGAAAGTGTCAGTAATATGG